AGAAAGTCTAAATGATAACCTTTAATATGATCTTAACTTTGTAATATGGAATTAAGCAGAATACCTGTTGAACCAAGTTGTCCTGAAGACAAGATTTTCATGGGGGTTCCATTTGCGTAACAGTAAGAGGGCTGACATAATCACTTTAAAATCATTGAATCATTCACCTTTCTTAAATAAGTTAGTGATTGATAAGGGGTGATTATTGCAGATGCACACTTGTGATTTAACTTGGAGCACAAGAGATGTTAATGTTTAAAGATACTATGACCAATTAATTTTTAATGAATATTGACTTTAAAATACTTTATTCTTTCTCTCTTGACACTGCATATGAGGCCTGGTGGCCTTCTACAAGAATGTCTTACAACTGGACCTGAAAACTACATTAAAAGTTTTGTGATTTTTATTTTTTTTTAAATATGTGTATGCTAAAATGCAGTCACAAAATGACAAGAGTTCTCAGTTCTTGGAGAGGTAAGGAGGGCAGTCTGCAGAACTGCTACCTTGGACTTCCTGAGAGCAGACTTTGGCCTGTTTAGGAGGCTGGTTGAAGAGTCCCTTGGGAGGCAGTCCTGAAGGGCAAAGGAGTCCAGGAAAGCTGGACATTTTTCAAGGGGGAAATCTTAAAGATGCAGGAGCAGGCCATCCCCATGTGCAAAAAGGCAAGCTGGCAGGGAAGAAGGCTGGACTAGCTGAACGGAGAGCTTTGGCTGGAACTCAGGAAAAAAAGGAGAGTTTATGACCTTCAGAAGAAGGGGCAGGCAACTCAGGAGGAGTACAAGGATGTCATGACTTTATACAAGGAGAAAATTGGAAGAGCCAAAGCCCAACTAGAACTCGATCTGGCTAATGCTGTAAAAGACAATAAAAAATATTTCTATAAAGGTATCAGCAACAAAAGGAGGGTAGAGGAGAACCTCCATCCTTTATTGGATGTGGGAGTAAACAGTGGCAAAAGATGAGGGAAAGGCTGAGGTACTTAATGTTTTCTTTGCCTTAGTCTTTAATAGTAGGACCACTTGTTCTCCAGGTTCCCAGCCCCCTGAGCAGGAAGACAGGGATGGGAAGCAGAAGGAAGCCCCCATAATCCAAGGGGAAATACTCAGTGACTTGCTATACCAGTTAGACAGACACAAGTCTATGAGGCTGGATGTGATCCACCCAAGGTTACTAAGGGAGCTGGCAGAAGTGCTCACTGAGCCACTTTCCATCATTTATCAGCACTCCTGGCTAACTGAGGAGGTTCCAGTTGTTCCAGCAAATGTGATGCCCAGGGATGGGAGAACTACAGGCTTGTTAGTCTGACCTCAGTGCTGGGGAATGTTATGGAGCATATCATCCATGACAGCCAGGGGATCAGGCCTAGTCAGCATGGGCTAATGAAAAGCAGGTCCTGCTTGACTAACCTGATCTCCTTCTCAGACAAGGTGATCCACTTAGTGGATGAGGGAAAAGCTATGGATGTTTTCTACCTAGACTTTAGTATAGCGTTTGACACTGTTTCCCACAGCATTCTTCTGGAGAAACTGGCTGCTCATAGCTTGGACAGGCATACACTTCACTGGGTAAAAAACCAGCTGGATTGATGGGCAGTGGCCAGTGGTACGAGGTTCAACCAGGGCTCTGTGCTGGGTCCTGCACCTGGGTCACAGCAACCCCATGCAATGCTACAGGCTTTGGTAAGAGTGGCTGGAAAGCTGCTCGGTGGAAAAGGACATAGGGCTGGTGATTGACAGCTGCTTGAACACAAGCCAGCTTGTGTCTAGGCAGCCAAGAAGGCCAGCAGTAGCCTGGCCTGTATCAGAAATAGCATAGACAGAAGGGCTAGGGCAGTGATTGTCTGCCTGTATTCGGCACTGCTGAGGCTGCACGTTGAATCCTGTGTTCCGCTCTGAGCCCCTCATGGCAAGAAAGATGTGGAGGTCCTGGAGTGTGTCCAGAGAAGGGCAGTGAAGCTGGTGAAGGGTCTGGAGATTAAGTTTGATGAGGAGCTGCTGAGGGAACTGGGATTGTTTAGTCTGAGAGAAAGAGTCTTGGGGAGACCTTATAGTTCTCTACATCTACCTGAAAGGAGGTTGTAGTGAAATGGGTGTTGGTCTCTTCTCCCAGGTAACAATTGATAGGACAAGAGGTAACAGCCTCAAGTTATATCAGGGGAGGTTTACATTGGATATTAGGAAAAATGTGTTCACCAAAAGGGTTGTCAAACACTGGAACAGACTGCCCAGGGAAGTGGTTGAGTCACCATCCCTGGAGGTATTTAGAAGATATGTAGATGAGGTGCTTAGAGACATACAAAGCTATAGAAGAAATACTGCCTTGTAATGTTTTGTGTCCATCTTTATACACAGACATATGTATGCTAGCATTGTCTACTGTTTAGTGCTCCTTTACGGTATAATTTAAAATCTGTTAAGGCCAGTGTTATGGATGAAAGTCGTCATTCCAGTTGTTAATTTCTGTCTTTAGAAGTTGCATGTCTTAATTCGGTTTTAGTGAGTAACATCATTTTATATTTTTTTCAGACAACTTTAATTATGTTTGCTTACTTCCAGCTATTTAAAGATACAGTAAATAGAAAAGTCAGTTTCTCAAGGCGAAATAGGTCCATTAATTTTGCAGGACTTGGGTATTTTGATTTCTGAGTGTATATTTGTATTAGTTGCAGTTCTTTTCAAGACGTGGAGCTCATAAATCAAAGTCAAAAGGGTTCTCATGGCTGCAGACCAACCTGCCATTCTGGGAAGAGGTGGTCTCGTTCATTAACAATGTTAGAGAGGAAATGCTTTCGGAAATGCTCTTGAAGATGCTCTCTCCTTCTGTTGGGATTACCTTAGCCTTCCTGTGGTTTAACTTCTAAGCTGCAGTTCACCCAGTTGGTAATTTCAGCTGTTCATAGAGGAAACTAAAAGCTGACTTTGCATTCACTGAATGTAAGATACTGTAGTGATGAGGTCCCTTCAGTGGTTCTTGCATATCCAGCTGTATCCAATGGCTTTGCATGCTGAATGAAGTGACAGAGCATAGATCTTCTTGAAACTTACTGCTTTGGTAAAGAAATGCTTTTGGTTGGTGCTTGGATACTTTGCTAAGAAAATAATAATTCACTAACCACAGTAAGTTTTTAAATTTCCATTTTTTTATGTTTGTTTTTTCAACCCTTTGCTGCTTTATTCGGAGTAGCCTTTTTTTGTTGATCTGAATTTACAAAGCCCATATTACTTCATTTACTTCAGGCATTTACTTATTAAGGGATTTACTTATAATGGGCGTTCTGTGCCATGGAAAAAGAGAATAAATCCATAGAAGACAGAAAAAACATTCTTCTGAAATGTCACTAAATGCTGGCAGGCATCTTTAAGAAAAATCCTGCAAAAGGTTTGAAACTAAACCTCAATCTTTCATTAATAATTTTAAATGAAAGAAGACTGTAACAGTACTCTGGTTACCAAAAGTTGAGTTTATAGGAATAGGCTGACATCATTAAATGCATGCTGGAAGAATGGATTCCAGGTTTTGAAGTTGGTTTTTCCAGCCTGATGGTGATCTGGTTAAGAAAAACATGGTTTGGTGATGCTAACAAAATCAGTGTCTGTAAACAATATGTTTAGAGTGCTGTGGATCTCAACACTTATTATGGGTGAGGACTTTAGAAATAATCATGCTGCTATAATTCTCTTATCTTTAGCATCTGGTTTAAGGGAATACAGTGTATCAGTGCAAATAGTTAAGCTTTTAAAATGCACTTAAAACATTGAATGAGCTTAGGTTTGGGGCTGAGGTTAGCTAATTGTATTGGAGTTTCATATCCACTTTAATAATGAAGCTGGTGGACAGTTGAACAGAAGGGATAGGCTTGTGCACAGGCAGAGCTATGCTAAGCTGAGGGAATACTCATTAGAAAAATTCACAGCAGCAGTTCTAAAGAAGATACAGCCAATGTGAAAGAGAGCACAATACAATGCCAGGGCAATAGGTATTTTGATTTATGCTTTTCTTTATGTGAAATTTTGAGTTTTTTATTGTCAAAGTGAAAATTAATTATCAGGTAATTTCTGAGGAGGGAGAGAGTGCTGATCCTCGGTGATTCAGAAATCTTGATCCCTGTGGATCCAGTGGCACAGCTGGAATTGTTGGTCTTTGCACTTAAATTGCAGTCTCCGTCATGAGCAAAAATCTCAGGACAGGTGGGATCCGTAGCATCTCCATCACCTGGCTGTACAGTCAAGCTCGTGGGTCTGTTTTTTCAAGTGCTGATTAAAGTTCTAAAGTGTACCCTAACTCCCAGGTGAATAATGGTAGATATACTTCAGTTTCTTCTAAAATATTACTTCCCCCCACCCCCCCCCAAAAAAGCCTATGGAAATTGTGTTTTCCTAATCTAAGACATGGCTTTTAAATACCATTATCTTGTGGGCCTATGAAAATTGTGTTTTCCTAATCTAAGACATGGCTTTTAAATACCGTTATCTTGTGGACCTACTAAAGATTTTATTTGCTTGGAATATATTTAGCACTAGTTAAAATGCGCTTGTGATAATCCTGTTTACTTATCTGGAAATAATACTGCCGCATCACAGTTTTATGCTTAGAGATCTATTCTTTTCATGGAGGGAAAAAAAAGCATTTTGCAATACTCTAATTTTAACTAATTAAGGGGAGCATACCCATGGAACTCATTTGCCTGTGTTTTAGATGCTTTTTATATTAGTGATGATGATGTTAAAAATGCCAGTGTTCTCCTTTAATATCACTTGGAGTTTATGCAAGTCCTATTTTTGTTGCCTAAAAACATAGCATGATCATAATTTGTCATAAAATCAAATACTCATTTTCCATTATAAAATGCCATATGCTCATACATTTTGATTTCTTTCCAGAAGTTTCACATAAATGCTACTTTTGTAATCTCAGATTTTCAGTTTAGAGTGGACTCATTCTCCCTGTCTTAGTGTATGGTCTTCTGCATCATAAGATCTTACATTTTCTCTCCATAGCTTCTGCAGAAAAAGACACAATCAAGAATACCTATTCCAAAGTAATGGACGCATATGGTCTTTTGGGTGTATTAAGATTAAATCTTGGTGAGTAAAATGCGTAAAGCCTTATTTTTCATTTGGGAAAGAGAATTGTGCTGCTCCTGTAAAACTGCACAGCACAGGATGCTCGCAACAGGAACTGGGCTCTTTGTTGCTTTTTATTTTTTGTCTTCATCAAGTAACTTGCAACTTTGGAGCACTCCCAGATATGAGGGAGTGGACAAAAATAACTTCCGTTTTCACAATCCTTGTTGTTTGCAGCACAGTTTCTCCTGTTTGCATTTTCTTTTCTTCTGTAGAACTTGAAAATGAGTTCTTGATTCTTTTTGTACTTTTTTCAGGCAAACTGGGGGTCAGGATGTGTACATTTAAGCATTTGAATGCATTGAATATGTCACACTCCACCAAGATTTGTTCTGTTATATGTGCCTTTTCTTGTTTTAACAGGAGACACATTGTTACATTATCTGGTTCTAGTAACAGGATGCATGTCTGTGGGAAAGATTCAAGACTCGGAAGTTTTTCGAGTTACTTCCACCGAGTTTGTATCGTTACGGATTGATTCAACAGATGAGGATCGTATTTCAGAAGTGCGCAAAGTTTTGAACTCGGGCAACTTTTATTTTGCATGGTCTGCAACTGGGGTCAGTTTAGATCTTAGTCTCAATGCTCACCGCAGCATGCAGGAGCACACCACTGACAATAGGTTCTTCTGGTGAGTTCAAAGTGCATTTTATCAGCCACTGTGTAGAATATTTCATGCCTGTGCAGACTAATCTGTGGCAAGTTTTTAGTGTTCTCTTTATCAGCTCCTAAATGTACACCTTTGTCATGAAAATGTTGATGAGATAGAATAGCATTATTTTATCTCTAAGGACATAAATATACTATTAATGATATAACATTTCCATGGCTACTTGGAGTTTCTTAATTGGAAGACACTGTTTTACACTGCTTATGATATTATATTACTTTGATAAGAACAGTTGTCATGATGTGTTTCAGCTTTGGTGTCTTAATTCTTCATTAAATGTGTCAATTTTTTAAAATCAGTAAGGTAATAGAGCTTTAAAGAAAATTTTCATCCTTTGAACATTCTGGATTCTAAAATGGTGCGGTGTTTATATATAGTTTTCAAGTAGGTTTCTAACAAACGAAAGGGCTTTTAAAGTGTTACTGTACACATAATTGTCCTATTGCTGTTTTTGTTTAAACAGAGTGGGTAGGCTATGCTACAGTGCACATTGTTTGGCTGCTGAATTCAGTGTCTATTTACAGAGTATTTTTTAATAAAGTATAGGTTTTCACACAGAGAATTCTTGGTAAAAGGAATTCTGCTGTTTCTGCCAATAAGCAGCTTAAATAATGCCAGTAATGCATACTGTTGTGTAAGAAATTCTGCTCCCGTATTTTCAGCTGTGGTTAAAAATGGTGTATGTGTCCATGAACCTTGAAAGGGTCCTGAAGGTTTGGCAGTGTGCTGTTAGAACAGGTGAAAAGCTACATCTTCCTGCCTCTCCTGTCCAATATACAGGATGCCAAACCAGCTCTGCCATATGTGCCAGTGCTACTCTACACTTTGCCATTGTTATGATCAGACTGCTCTATAAGACAAAATATATGTATTAAGACAGAAAATAAGCTCTTGTCTTCAGAAACACATCTACTTTTATGTAGGTTTACAGGAGTTACAGGAGCCTATCTGTAACCAGCTGTCTGTCTCTGCATCTGGAAAAAGACTGGGTTCTCCATTGATAAGTCAGTATTTGAAGGCTTGAGAAGTGATGGTGCCTGTTGACCCTGTCCAAATAAGCTTGTCTGATTTTGACCCCTGTCATAAGACTTCTGAAGTTACCTGACTCTTTTTTTCAGTAAGAATCAGTCCTCGCAGGAGGTAGATTGAATGCCACAGATTCCAAGAATAGGAATGTAAACATTAAAGTCAGTAACAGAAAGTATTCTGCTTATGCACTTGTAAGCTTTCTTGGGCTTTTTCAATTCAAAAGTTCCAGTCCCAGGTTGCTTTCTCAGTTTCCTGTTGTAATACTTTTCTGTAGAGTGAATGCATACTTGGTTTACAGGATTTGAATCCTCATTCATAATTGAACTGAGGTGTTTTATAAGTTTGTTCTGTTTTTTGTACTGGAAGTTAGAATGAAAGGGCTAAAACTGAAGTGAATAGCTTCAACCTTTCAATCAAATATGTTGTTTTCTGGGTGGTTTCCAAAGAAGATCAAAAGCCAAGCCCCACTAGAGTGGAACTCTGTCTCTCAACAAACCCCAAACTTTAGGCTTATTTACGTACTACAGTGTTGATTGGTACTACTTAATGCACAGGTATATGCAAGTTGTGGATCTTTCTTTCATTTGAGTTGTAATTGGTATTAGTGAACAGTATATGTAATATATAATGTACCAATGACACAACACTTAACCCTGAAATTTGTATTTACAGAAATTTGAAAATCAGTTGGCTATCAGTGTATTCTGGGAAGTTTGTCTGGGCAAATAATGCCTTAGGGTAACTTGTAATAGTAATGATCAATGTATGTTGACAAAACTTTTTTTCTAGCTTAATTTTGTGATGATGTGAAATTGAATGGTGCTTTACCCATCACAAAACGTAACCTGTAAATGGAATTCTGGCTTGCTTTTTGCCAGAGTCTGTAATCTTTGACTTCTCAAAACGAGGCTGAGTGGAGAAGTATAAACAATTTTGGAGTGTTGTTTTTTGCTGGGTGAAGAGCAGAGGCTATAAGGGCTATTTTAAGGGCTGTTATTTTAATTAAAATTCATTGCTTCACCCCATATTCTTATTGTGTGAACATTTAAGCTGTTCTCTTGTGAAATTTGCTGTTTCAGGTATGCTTAAATATTTTTATTTTCTTATTTCTAGTAGTGGGTGTAAAATATAAGAAGTTAGTAGCTGGCTAAACAATTTGAGCTGTATTTTATTTCCTTCCAGTTATTTTTTTTTGAATTTTTCCTGATAGGAACCAGTCACTGCATTTACATCTGAAGCACTATGGTGTGAACTGTGATGACTGGTTGTTACGTCTCATGTGTGGAGGAGTGGAGATAAGGACAATTTATGCGGCTCACAAGCAGGCAAAGGCTTGTCTCATTTCACGACTGAGCTGTGAGCGGGCTGGCACCAGATTTAACGTTCGGGGAACAAATGATGATGGACACGTTGCTAACTTTGTTGAAACAGAGCAGGTATGTTACACTACAGTGCAAATTGCTTGGCTGATGAACTCAAGATAAGCATATCTGTGGATAGTTTTGTTGCCCTAAATCAATAGATCACAAGTCAAGTCTGTGATCAACAGATATTTGAATAGTTCCTTTGCTATTTAATATAATAGTTCCTTTGCTAAGATCATAATTTGATGATCTTGGTTTTCAGTGTAGCTTAGGGTAAGGGCATGCACGGGTCTGAATTTCAGTAGCTTAAGAAGCTGTTATCCATCAGCTGAACTGTTGCAGGTGGCTGTACTTCCTTTCAGCCTCCTGGGCTGTAGGTGAGCCTGTACTTCTTTGGGCCTGAGCTAGTAATAAAGTAAAAAGCCTTAGAAACAAGCAAAAGAGATTTTTGGCAAATACATAGTACCCTGTGGTTCAGGAAAGATAAAAGCATTCCTAGGGTTACTTAACACAGCTCCTGTGAAAGGTAGTTCTTAAAGCCACTGTAATTCTGCTACATTGCATTGAATATCTTTGCCCTTATTATTCAAAAATGCAAGAAGCCATTAAATCATTCTTTCCTGGCCTTTCTTTGCTTACTTCTTATGGTAATCTAGTTGTGAAGATGTTCCTGCAACTCCATGCGAGTAGGTACCTTTGGTTGACTCACTGACACTTTGCTAAGTTTTGGTGACTTCAGTAGGATTTTATCCAGGAAAGGCTCTGCTTGTACACAGCCAATTTCAGTAGTTAGGACAGAGTGGTGTACAGTTCTCCAAGTTTTTTTGTTAGGCTAATGTCATTGAATGACTGGCATGTCATTCCACTTAAACATACAGGAAACTTTAGTAGACCATTGTATTTTGGATTCTGATGCACAAAATCTGTGCAGGTGCTCTTAGTAGGCGGTACTGTTACTTTCTGTGCATTGGGTGTACATTATAACTGTTCCTACAGGAAGGTCTTAACAAGGTTTTTTAAAACAAGTTACTCTTAGCATTGAAATCATTCAGGCCGCAAGAACAAAAGCGTGTTGTGTTTTCTTAGATGTTGTGAATCATGATTCTGCAGGGGTGTATGAGACTGCCAGAGCTTCTTTTATGAATTGTTCAGAGTGTAGAGAGAGAGTCTAGGGAACATGATTAATATTTTAGCTTATAGTGTGCAATATGTAATATGTAAATGTATTTTATTTACCCTATGTTTAGCTAAGGCTAATAAACCTATTAACACTAATGTTTGGTGTTCTTTTTTCCTCAACAGGTGATATTTTTGGATGACTCTGTGTCATCTTTCATACAGATTCGAGGATCTGTTCCATTATTTTGGGAGCAGCCAGGTCTGCAGGTAAGCAGAAGATAAGTTTAGTCTTACAGATAATTCTTATTAATGTCTTTTTAAACACCTTACATTTAGGCTCTTCTGCACAGTTACCTGTCAGGATGAGGTCATCCTTCAGGAGCAAGTTGGTGTTATTGTTTAATTCACCATGCTTGCTGCTTTCAAGTCTCTGAATGCTGTTTTGCATAAGATTTGAATGACCACTGGTTTTTAGATGTTTTCTCTTTGAAATTCTGAGTTTTTCTGTTTAAATTGCTATTTTAAAATAGGTTATTTAAGGACACCCAACGAGACTGTCTTCTGAATTGCTCATGAGACTATGTCTTCTCAGATAGGCAATATGGATCAAGTTTTTGTAATATAATTTCATCCCAGTTTTTAGAAAAATAAAGAAGAGGAATTTAAGAAAAGCGTAAAAAGAGAGTGCACACCATAGCGTGAAGAATAAATTTTGAAGATTTCATTTAGAAAGTGAAATGAATTTTTAGGCCATATTTAGGATCAAAATAGGTCTTTGAAGAACGATTCATCAAATGTGTAAAGACAAATAATTTAATGCAATCTTCATGTCATAGGTGGGATCCCATCGTGTCAGAATGTCAAGGGGTTTTGAGGCGAATGCACCAGCTTTTGACAGGTGAAAGAATGTCTTAAATTTTTGTTAATGCACTACAAACCTCTGACAAGTGATGCATCAGAGGGATGGGAGGCTCTGTCTATACAAATGTGTGCCTTTGAGTGTTGAAAACTTTGAAGGAAATTTAAAATAGTGAAATACTTTGTTAAATTAAAAAAACAAAAACCAAAGCCAACCAAAATCAAACCAAAATTATAGCATGCTTACATTGAATAATCTGTATTTGTCAGCTGCTGTATGAAAGTAAAATCTATATTTTGATTTTATTCCTGCCATGACACTTCAGCTTCATAGCCTTATGGTTCTAACTAAATGTATGTTGTTAAATTGGTGCTATTTATCCTAATTGAATAGCAGTCAGTGGCTAGTGCTATTGCTGAGTTTTATTGATTTGTTTGGACATGACATAATAAAGGGCTTGCGGCAGTATGAGAGTACCCAGTACATTTCTACAACATCTCAGCCAGTATTGCAGGTGCTTGTGTTAATTTTGTGCATGCCAGAAGATGAGTGTGGAATTTTTCTTCTGTTAACAGGCATTTCCAAACTCTTAAAAATTTATATGGCAAGCAAATAATTGTAAATTTACTTGGGGCAAAAGAAGGGGAGCACATGCTCAGCAAAGCTTTTCAGGTGAGTATGTCAGTTCTCTCACTGTGCATATCCTTGGAATTTGCCTGTTTGTGATGAAGCTTTTATATAGCCCTCAAAAAATGAAGCAGGTATGCTGTGCTCTACCGCTTGTGATTAAAATTGTATTATCATAAAAACAGTACTTAAGATACAGAAAGTGTTTGATTATGTTCAGATTAGTTACTTTACTGAATAATTCTATCAGCAACAAAGTGTTGAGGGATTTTAAGTTATTTTCATATTTCATGCTTAATAGTGGCTTATTTTAAAAACAAATCCTTTTTGCACTATAAAATTGGTAAATAAATAAATGCTACTGTGATGTTTATTTTTAAAATATTTTTCTTGGAATTCCTCCTGGATATATTCTGTAATATTTAAAAAAATTAAAATTAATTTAGTCAATTTAAACATAAAAGCTGGTTCATGATTAAACAGGAATGTTTGTTCAGAAGATGTTAACTCTAAGTGGCCATTTTCATGAATTCCCACTAGTTAGGTTAAAAATAACTGTTACGTTGTACTGACAATTTGAGAAGTTCTGTCTGAAGCCAGAGAACACTAGCCATCTGTTATTTCCCTTTCCCTTTTTCCCTCTCCTTTTGTATTATAATGGTTGAATGTCTTAATGTGATTCACTTGTATCCTCCCTGTATCCAGCAATCCTGGTAGGAGACATTAGTGCTCCCAGATACATATCAATGCAGATCACAGCTTTGCCAACAAAGATTATGTGAGCACTTCAGGATTGTTCAGGGAATACTAAGTAAAGTTTTGCTCTAGCAACCCTTCACAGCAGCCTAAATAATAGGACTGTTTTTTTTAAGTAGCAGTTTACAGGGAGTTTACTCAGTCCCTGTTGCCGATAGGTGTGTCTGAAATGGTGACTGTTCATGAAAGGATTTCCACTGAAACAACTCATTGCAAATCTAAGCATTTTAACAGTAGAAGAGGCTGTAGACTGTCTTGGTGATCCCTAGTATAGTAATGAAAAAATTGACTTTGTGACATAAAAGAGAAACACACAGGGAAATATTCATCAGTTCTGAGTGATTTGTTGAACAATAGTGATAAAAAATATTTCATTTTACCTAAGAGAAAGCATGTAATAAAGAAGATAGCTAAGAAAACAGCTTTAAAAATATTTGTAGCCTCTTACTTAGCTTATACTGCTATGTGTTCAGATATTGGTGTATTTATATCGTTTTCCTCTCTTTTTACAATGTCAGAGCCATTTGAAAGCATCTGAACATTCAACTGATATCAAAATGGTGAACTTCGACTATCATCAAATGGTTAAAGGTGGAAAAGCAGAAAAACTGCACAGTGTGCTTAAACCTCAAGTCCAGAAATTCTTAGAGTGTGGATTTTTTTATTTTGATGGAAAGGAAGTTAAAAGGTTTGTGTGTGTGACTTCTGTAAATTTCTTCAAATTGAATGATGTTTCTGAGATTTTTTTCACCCATTGGCAAGAAGAGAAAAAATGTTACTTGTTACTGTATTTTTATTGTATCCAAGATGGTGCTTATCAACTGAAATATGAGTCACTTACTAAAATTTTATGTCATTCTGAATACGCTCTAAAAATTTTAATGGAAAATATCTCTGAGACATTGAGGGGGCATGACTTAATTTCAGGCCATTCACATGGTAATTTTGGTAAAAATGGGCACTCATCCTTTTTCTTGAGTGCACCCATATGGGCTTTAAGAATGCGTGGTTTTCCATGTTCCTGTATAATGTTATTCGTATTTTCCTCAATGATGGAGCATACCGTTTTCTGTTTGTTGTAAATGCTGATGTTCAGTGCAGTCTTTGTGTGCAGCTAGGTCCCCCATTTGAGAGGTTAAGTTCTCCACAAAATGTGAATGGAATGCGTGTTTTCTGCCCTGTTCCATGCTTCCCGCTCCTGCTGTACTTGTTCTTCTGTCCCCATTTCCACACCCCTCTTCCTAGAGCAAAGGCAGTGCTTGTGTTCTTTCTTCTGCAACAGCAGGGAAGCAGGGTTAGAAATAGGCAACATTCCTGCACTTCTCCCTTCCACATCCTTCCTCCTTTTAATTAATGCCAGAGCAAACTCTGGAGTGAGGTTCTCCATGGGAAAGAGAATTGTTGAATGAGGGGATTGTGCTATGAGCAGTGGGGTTTTATCATTTCTAGTGCGTTAGGAGAAGAGGGTTCCACTTCCACTCTGTGCTCTAACCTGGCTGTGGGATTAAATCACCCTTGGGTGGGTTGTACTAGTCCTGAGTAAAATTAGATTTAGCGGGAGGGTGCTTAGGTTCCCTTTCCACCTCAAAATGTCACATGCTTTAAAAGTGGTGTGATATTTTGTGTGGGGGGAACACCATGGGTCTTGATGGAGATGCAGACAATGTTGTCACCCATCAAAAAGACTGACAACAGAATGAAAGCAAAATAGGCTGTGGCTTGTGATAGCTTGAAGAATTGTGTCTTTTATTAGGTACAGTGACAAATTTTGTAAGCTCATGAACCATCTACTTTGGAGGATATTAGGGATTTTCTTCTAACACAGGTAGCAAGTTGCTTCACATTTCATATCACATACGAAGATAGTAATGAAAAAAATAATCTTGGAGAAAGTTTTTCAAAACTTTTTACAGTTTATAGTTAGATTTACAAGTAAATGTGGTGAAGCCTTTCTGACTTAATTGAGCAGTGTGTAGTGGGAATGATAAAGGTAAGGAATGAATGTCTGTGACAGGAAGAGCCATCAGAATTTTGTACTTATTGCTTGGCAAGGAGAATGTGGATGTTGCCTGATATGATCCTTCTGAGAGCTTTGTAGCACAAGTTAATGGGCTTCTCAAAGAAAGGGGAGCAGATCAGCATGTATGAGGACCTCAAGCATCTGTTAAGCTAAGGGGAAGGGGCTTATTTTTCATACTTGTTTAGGGACGAAAGAGAAAGTAATGAGGGGTTGAAATTGGCTTTAGTTTTATCACAACTTCTTGTTACTTTTAGTTCAGTTAAACAAATCCAAAACTGTCCTGACTTTTAAATCTTTTTTCCCCTTTTTGTTTCCTTTTTGTTTTAACTAAAAGTTACTATATCCCTGAGATTCCTGGGAAGTGTGTTTGTTAGGATTGTTTGAAAAGAAAACTTAATCCTGCATAACACTTTAACGAAGCAAGCAGGGAGAATAGAGAAAAAGTGAAGAAGAAAGACTCATGTTATTTGCAGAAAATAAATCAGATTTTTATAGTGAACACTGCTGCAAAATTTACTGTTGTTATTGGAACTAATCCTCTATTGCTGATGCATTTATAAACATACTTGTGATGACAGTAACCGTGCCTTGACAATACCCTGATTTACTGTTCTGGTTCAGATCTTGATGTCCCTGTCTTTGTTGACGGTATGTGTGTTAAATGAGTTATTTCAGTTGTTTTCTTTCTCTGTCTCTCATTGTCCTTGGCACAGATCTCAAAGCGGTACTGTCAGAACAAACTGCTTGGACTGTCTGGATAGAACAAACAGCGTACAAGCTTTCTTTGGCTTGGAGGTAGGAAAAACAGTTCCAGATACACACACAACTCCTGCGGATGCTTCTGTAGCAATTAGGCTGTAAAAGTAGTGTTACCTTCCCTGTGAAAGATGAATTGGAATAGGTGGCAGTTTGATTTATAGCATGATAGTTTTCTTGTTCTCGTCAACCAGATCTTAGTAGTTACAGAAGCAGTAGTAGTGTAGTAGTTGTAATTAAGTGATAGTCATACAGCAGTATGAAAAATTTTAATTCTTTTTTAGGTGTCAGTTTCTTCTGTTTGTTAAGGTTCGGGCTTGCCATTTTAGAAGAGGTGGTAGTATTGTAGTCCTTCACAAAAACACTTGCATTCACAGCTACTCTATCAGATTAAGTTCTTTCAGGATACAGGATTACTGTTCTTAGCATCTGCCAGTGCTATGTGTTCATATTTTCACAGCACTGGGCTCTGAATTCTTCATGTTATGGTACCATGGTTGAGGCTTTGGCCACACTCGAGTAGTTTGAAATTAACCGTGGGATTCAGTTCTGCAGGGTTGTGCTTCAGCATATTGGCTTGTTGTTGGAACAAAGATTCTAGCCTGAAGGCTTATACAGTAGAGCTTGAACCTGATAGGAATGGATGGAGTAAAATAGTACTGATTGGTCTAAAAGAGCAGCTCTGAAAAACTTCTGACAGCTCCACTCATCTTAATAAACTAAGATTGGCTCCTAAAGGTAAAATCCTTAACGTGTTTAAAAATGAAAACTTATGGGTGCTGTAACATGAAACTAAGTAAAATGATTATTCTTTTGTTTTCTGAGTTTTATTTCATTAAAATGCTCTTGTTCTATCATCTCTAGGAGGAATTTCTATGAGAACAGCAAAATTCATTAGCTGTAGAACAAACATTTCTGGTTCTGGAATATGTAATGCTTTGCTGCTGTGTTTACAAAGTTAACAGTGATGCCAGTTCATTGGTGTTTTAATCAAACATAATGCTGAACTGTTGACTCTCATGCAAGTACTCTGGAAATTTTTCTCTTAACATTTGACATCAGTACATACTGTAGCGGTTACAGTACAGTTTGAGAGATCTGCTGCTTTTTTCTCCATTGTTTCAACTTTGCATGCATCATAGGGGGCCACACCTTTTAGTTACAAAAATTAAGGAAAATAATTCTTCTTACTTAGTTCACTGTGAAAAGAGTAGCAACATGCTTTGAAAATCTCACAGCATTGTATTGTGTTACGTAGTTTGTACCTCTGTCCATCTTCTGTTAATTTGCCATGGGAGAAACAAATGATTACCTAAAGTCTCGTATTTTGCTGATAATACAGTAGTTTTGTATGACATAAGAATGAACCTTTATACAGTTTTAATACATACAGTACTAATTAAGCAAACAGCTTTGCAGCGCTATTTTTTCCTTTCTCATCCTTTCTCATCCTTTTAAGAACTGGATTAAGTATTTTCTTTTTTTTTTTTAGACCAGGTGAGAGCTGAAATTATGATTTCAGCTAATATATGAGAGCTAAAAGTATAAAAATAATTAAGAAGAAGAAAACAGTAAATCCTCATGAGCTGCTTAATTTTAAAATTATTTAAATGAGATATTTGAATTCTTGCTTTTTTAACATGATCGATATTTAATATAACAAGTACTGAGCTCTGGATAACCACTTAAAATTACAGTATCAGGCACCTAATTTCTGAAGCTTATGTTTATTTATACTTAATTTCATTTGCAAGTTCCCTGTTGTAACTTCTGTTAATTTCTGACCAACCTTCAGAATTTTGCCTTTGTGTCATTATATATTCATCATTTTAGACTCCTCCTTGCTGTTGGACATCTCAAGGTTTTAAAGATTTCTAAAGCTCTTGAAAATAGCATTTTATTTAGTTTTAAATTTTTGTATTTATTTTTAGTATTGTGGTGGTAGCCACAAACATGAGAAATTTGCTTGAGTTTTTTTAAATAATCATGATTCCATAAACCAGGATTTCAAACAAGGTACAATGTCCCATTGTACATCCATGAGCATAGTGTGACATTTAAATAATGTATTTAAATGTAAAATAATCATAGAATCATGCATTTTCTGTGTACTGTATGTATACAATTTAAATGCATTTTATATAGACTGTGCATTGTGGAAAATTAATTCATGTGTATTGACTGGTAAGGATAAAGGGTTGCAGCGTGTTATGCATGAAAACAGAGTGAATGAGAAGCCATTCCTGTTACACTGATCGCATGCTCTTTTGCTGCTGCAGAGGTAATAGAGGTCAGTGTGTTTGGTATTACACTTTTTTGGGAAAAACGTGAATTGCGCTAACTCTAAATTATGTAAGTAGAAAGACTTGGGAACCAAAAAGCGATTACCTTGTAACTACTGAATTTTTAAATTAAAATATTTACAAATCAACTACATAATTATTTTCCTACATTGCTGCCTATATTTAAAAGAAAATTAAATGCTGGAGGCTAAAGTTACATGTGTGGTGTACCCTTTCAAACATGACATGGTGTCAGTTTATTCAGAATGATACATATAAACCAAAGATATTTTTGTGCACACATGCTGAAAAAATGATGAATCTTTTAATAAATGCATTTAAACATTTTTCTTTTGCAAATGTTGTCTTCAACTGTTGCAGATGCTAACAAAACAACTGGAGGTGTTAGGATTAGCTGAGAAGCCTCAGTTGGTTACTCGCTTTCAGGAAGTTTTCCGATCCATGTGGTCTGTGAATGGTGATTCTGTCAGTAAAATTTATGCTGGAACTGGAGCCCTTGAAGGGAAAGCTAAGGTAAAGTACATTTAATAGAAACTTCAGCAGTATTAGTTATGGGTTCTTACAGATTTTGTAATTAATATAGCAATTATGAGGTTTTCTTTTTTTAAATGTGCCTTTGTTGTAATCCTAAAAAGCCCCAACCAACTAAACAACAGCAAAAGAATAACATAAGAGGTCGGTTATGTTGATAACCGGATCTTATTTCAGTACATCCTTTCTCAACCATGCCCATGCCTCCCAGATAACAGCGTTCTGCAGGAAAGGATGAGGCTCAAAGCTTTCGTTTCTTTAGCTCATAGTTCAGTAAAATGTATATTCCAATCAGCTTTAGTTTCTTTGAATACTTTCATTTTTCTCTCTGTACCTCTGCCTTGTATTGTTTCAGTTTCTTTCACTGTGTCACTGTATTTGCTGGACATTGTTTTTCATACTTTTTAGTGTTTATTAATGGTGTTAAAATTACTCAGTTGCAGCCGGGTGTTTTTTGTTTGCATGCTCCTCCAGCTGTTTCTTTTTAGTTTTGCAATCAGTGAAAAAAAACCCCTAAATTCTGTTTGTGCGTTGCTTTCTAATGTTGTGATAACAATTCCATACTACATGACAGTGTAGTGCTCTGTTTCTCTTCAACTTATTTTGTCTTTTTTGATGCCTGAGTTGTTCACATTTTCTAATTATTTTATTTTTCTTCTAACAATGTTGCTTTTTTTGTTTCCATAAATCTCTCTCTTATTAGGTGATACATGTCAAGACAAACAAATGTTGAACCATAGTAATTATTGCCCTTAGTTCCTTCAAGAATTTCTTTTCATGCTGTTCCTTTATTCAAGAATGGGCTGCTTCTTGTTCTGTATTGTATACTGTGTACTCATAGTTGACTGTTTTGTTTTTTCATCACTTGTTCATTCAAACCATATCCGAGTCCTTCTTTGCACATGTACAAGGCATTGCAGTAAGCTACACAAAAAGAAGTAAAATAGAATTGTTGTTTATTCTACCCTTAGTGGATGCATACAAGACTTTTTCATTTGGGAATTGCTTTTATTTTAGTGTAGAGTGGAATTTGATTAAAGGTGTTTAGTTTTATTTTCTTACAAAAATGTCACCCAGACCGTCAAGAAAACTACAGTGAGTATTCTGTGGGGTATCTCCCCTTCTCCTGACTTTCTCATTCAACTTTACTTGTTTCTTTTCCTAAATTAATAATTTTCTGCCATTCATTTGGCCATTTAAATTTTTTACGTTGTAAAATGCATTTACTGTATTTATGCCTCTATTTTAATGTCTGAAACACAGAGTACATTTACTCTGCTGTCTTTGTAATAACACAGGATCCCTGCTCTGGTACAACTGTTAATGAGTACCACATCTTACAAATAAGACAACAGTGTCCCTGATGGAAGTCCGTCTATTCAAAGAGGATCTTTAATACTTGCAAAACCATACAATACTTGCCATTATTTCAGTAAAACCTGACCAGGTCACTACTGAGTATCTTCTTGAGTACTCTGATAATATATAACAAAAGGTAGTTTCTCTAAGTTGTTAGTTGTATTCTCATTTCTCAAATGAAAAGTTTGATGGTTGAAGTTCTTTTCTTGCTCTTCAGTCTGATTCTTTGAAGTCCAAGAGTACTTAGAAGTAAATAAACCCAGAAATTTAGGATAGGAGAAAAAAAAAATTAACCTTAAATGTGTTGATATGCATTTCTATACTGAAAAACGGTCCTTTTAAAAGTATTATAATACTTGTAACATCTAACTCCTTACCTACTCTTTTTTTTTTTTTTTGCTTTCTCTGGGTTCGTTTCAATTAATTGCCTGATATGTGAATGGTGAGTGTGGTTTTTTTGATTGTGCCATAAGTTATACGTTGTCTGACAGAAAGGGAACAGCATCCTATTAAAATTCTATTGCAACAGTATGCTCCCTAACACCTCATCCACATTGTCTTCCAAAAATCACGGTGTAAATTCACTACTACTTACCCCTGACAAAAGAGTAGTTTCTTTCTTGTTGTCTAGTGCTGTTAATAGAACTAAACGATGGGTTCGTTTTGTAGTTTTCTTAAGCTTTTGTCTTTTTTTTTTAATGCATTTAAGAGACTTTCATGAACAATGCAAGCTGTAAACTTGGTTTTTTTTTTAATACCATGCAGCATCCCTGATGGATTATGGTTTATGTTTCATATACGTGCAATAGCATGTGTTTAAATACACCTCACAGGCAAAATACACTTACATACATAAAACACAATAAGCCGTGTAATCAAGAATATGTCTTTGTGCCTGTTATTCTCAGTGCTGTGTACACAGGTTAGTGCTGCTGGTTTTTGAATCAAGTATGAGACTGCTTGACATGTAGATTACATTATCCTCCAGGTGTCTGACCCACAGGGAATATCTGTAGTAGTAGTACATCTGTTGGAAATTCTTGTTTAGCTTAGGTAGTTGGGCACTTCCTTTGGAGCACTCACTGTTCATGGCACTTGTGTGCAGTCTGTGCAACAACAGTGTCTTCATATATATGTAGCTGTAGATTAGTGTATATGTTCCTTCTGGGATACTGCATGAGACTTGCATGATTTTTAAAAAGTGAAGGGGTCTTAATAAGTTGAAGGCAGCTCTTTTTTTTTTTTTAACATGGATATTTCAGAATGTGAGTTCTGAACTAATATGTTCATACGTATATACATCCATACATATATATTCATGTATCATGACATTTAGACTCAAGTGCTTGCTCATCTGTCACTATTTGGGGAAAAGCCCAAAATCCCGTATTATGGTCTAAACATGGCACTATATCAATTTCATTTTTGAAGACCAAGGGTTTAGGGGGGAAAATGTTTTTCCCCTCCCTGCAGTGTTTTGTTTACTTCAAATAATTCAAACTGGAATAATCTGGTTGTTAGATATGCCTTGAAGGTATGACTGTGTGGTTTAGCACGTAGGTGGGGAAAGAAAAAGCACAACATGGTACAATAGGCTCAGAAGACTTTAACACTTAAAGAAGGAACTTGCCTTAGATTTTAAAATCATTAATGCAGTTTACAAATATGTTACTGAATATTGCCAATGTTATTGTGAGCAGTGTCCAATATAAAATATCTTATACGTGTTCCTCCCTAACAGGCTGGAAAGCTGAAGGATGGTGCTCGTTCTGTGACCAGAACGATTCAAAATAACTTTTTTGATAGCTCCAAGCAGGAGGCCATTGATGTTTTGTTATTGGGAAATACCCTAAATAGTGATTTAGCAGATAAAGCACGGGCTCTCTTAACCACCAGCAGTTTACGCGGTATGTGTCTTTCAGGATTTTAATCTGTCTGATAACTATTTGGTGTAAGAAAGCTATATGGAGTCTGTTTTCAAAGCAATATTGAGAAGTGTAAATGCTATTTTATGTTCTGATGGCTTATTAAAAAGATGAAAGTTACTTCTGCTTTACTAATATTACCAAACTAACATGTTGCAGTAATTTCTTTACTGTTTATATTTTGTTGATGTCTGGTGGTGTTATGGGTAAATGTTTGTGGAGTGTATTTGTCAGAACTTTACTGTAGATGCACCATAAATATGTTCTGTTCAGTTCTTCGAATCCATATATAGCAAGTGTTAATCGTTACAGTTACGTGCTGAATTTGGGAAAGAAAATCCTGATTTATTAAAATATTAGGGGGGATTTATTGTTTGCTAAATGTCTTCCTTATTTTGATCTGTCATGTCAGTGAAGAAATTCTCACCATAGTATTAAACTAGGTAGAAAGCATTTTTTTTTTTTTTCAAGCTTATCTTCATTGTAGTTTCTAAGATACTGAGGAACAAAAGGGGGTTTTGGGAATGAAAGAAAACTTAAGATAACAGGAGCTATCAGAAGAATCCCGATGAATGATTTTCCATCACAAAATGGGGCTTTTGTGTGAGAACAGGTGCACCATAAAAGCTTGTCAGTCTGTGTGTGAATTTCCACATCAAAATCAGAACATCAATAAGAAAATCTGCTCAATCAGAGTAGCCATGTGGCACTTGGGACTCTGGTGTCAGGATGATGGGTCACCTCATCAGAACAGGGAGCTGAACCACAGCATCCTGCATCCTCAGAGGTGTAGTCTGCACAGTCCTCAGGACTACATTCATGTCCCATCCTTCTGCAGATCTAATGGGCAGGGAAATAGAGGGCCAGGTGTAGGGCTGTGTTTAAAATAACTCTTTTGGGATAGTAAAAAATAGAGGAGCTAGTTCTTGGGAAAAGAAGGAACTTAAATTTGAGCCGTCTTTTTAAGATCCCAGGTAAGAGTGTCCTAAATGGTGGGTTATTGCCAATTTTAGGGATTAATAACATTCTTATTTTTTCCTTTTTTTTTTCTTCACTTTATTCTGGACATTTCTCAATTTAGAATGAGAAAAATGTGTCAAAGCTTCAGTGTAAATCGGTGGCACAAGAAAAAAATTCTTGCCCAATTTAACTCTTCAGATTGTGGGTATTTTTATATTTTCAAGATTCCTTTCCTCTCATTCCTTTACCACAAGGTTTTGTGTTATTGTAATTTTTCCTGTATCTGAATGTGCTAAATTAGCCTTACCTCAAAGTTAGTTGAAAGTCATTTGCATTTCTTCTCACTTTCTCTGTGAATGCAATTTATCTTTTCATTGTTTGCAGCTTCTGTCAGCTGAGGAACATTAATCCCTCTTCACTGAACATAATGTCTTTGCATTGTCTGCTGGGTGGTGAATTAACTAGAGAACTACTTTATAATATGTAAATCCATTATTAATAAAGCAAGCAAAGACAAGTTGTTGATACTGTTGTACAGCTTTTTAGATTTTGCAGCATAAAAGATGTGCTTTAACTGATGCAAATGGTTATGTGTAATAAATTGTATATTACAGCATGTTCTGTCACGTTACTGGAAAAATTTAAAAAACAATTACTTATTTGACTAATGTTTTTCTTGTTTCCTTCTTACTGCATCCGTAGTTTCAGAGCAATCATTACAATCAGGTATAGTAAACTAAGCTGTAAATATCTGAGCAGCTATTGTTCTTCTTGTGCCTATTTACGTAACATTTGGTTGTGGGCTCAATTTTCCTAGTAGTGTTTGGATCTGGCACTCTGTGCCCTCAAATCCCTTACTCTTAGAAAAGCTTTTTAATACAAAGAAAGTGAAAATGTATGAATATGCGGGATGAAAAATATTAGAAAAAAGAGGCAGCCAATTCTTTGAGGTTTATTTTTAAAAATGGTTTATTCTAGCTGTAGAGGAATTTGCCTTTTTATCTGATTTGGGAGCTCCTGTATTCTTGTTTTGTCTACATGTTTTGTTTAGGGTAAGAGCTAAAAATTCTTCAGTGCAATTTCTAACATCTTATTTGCCATTAAAAGGCTCTACCAGCTTGTGTTCTTGCATGAGACAGACTGGTTTTGTAGTATCTCCCAGCCAAGGATAGCATTGTACTGGAATGATCTGAAATAATATGCTGACACTTGTGTTCTGTGGAGCAAAAGTACCATCAAAACCATTGAGATAACAGTTATCTCTGCACGTAACACTAAATGAGAGTATAAGAGCATCTATTTAGGTAAAACTCTTGGTGAAGAGAAGGCCTGAAGTGGCAACTTTATAGTTAACTTCTGATTTTCTACTTTGAGAACGTACGGATGAGCCAGATAGAGGAAAATTACATGAAATATCTCTTCAGTTTAAGAAGCTGCTGAAAGCTCTTAGTTATTGTCATTGTAAGTTAGCAACATAAGCAACATAATGCATTCAGACGTAATTTTGGAGAGATACGATATATGCGTATTCCATATTTTTAAGGGAGAGCTGCAAGTACGTGTCAGCTGTGCAACACGTCATTGTCTCTTTGTTCTGAGAAATTATTATTTAAAATATTATATTCCTAATGCTCATATGTTCAGAGTTTACTTTATGTTAAGAAAATTTAAACATCCATGTCTGAGCTATTACCTTAATAGGGTTCAGTGTGCTGCCTCTTGGAAGTAGGTTCATTGAAACCAGATCAGATGCTTAGTTTATGGGTGGCAGGGAAGAAAAGTCTGTTCTTAATATGTGGGAAGATAAAGGGAGAGAAGGAGGAAAATAAACAAGGAAGCTCTTAATAATTGTTCAGACAAGTCTCCCATTTTAAGAGAATAGCAAAGTTTTGCTCAGTATCCACTGAACCTGTGTGCTTGGGTAGTAGCTGCTGGCCCTGGGTACTGAAGAGGATCCTTGGAAGAAACCATGAGGATTTGTCATTGGCTAGATTGTTCAAATACATCTCAAGTGTTTAAAGCTTCTCCCCCTCACATACCTCCCCTTAGAAAAGCACTTCAAACATAATCTGTAGTTTTGAGCTTTAAATGTTTTTTTTTTCCCTTTACAGCTTTGCTTTTTTTATTAGTGTTTTACTGTATCTACTTAACTCTTACTGGGTACTTAAATAATGAAATCTGAGCCACAGGTAATACGCACCTGAAATTAACTGATTCGCTGGCATTTTGTCAGTTTTAAAAACTGTTTGTTGGAATAAACAGTCACATTGTCATTTATGGTGTTACCATCTAGACTGTATCAGCCTAGCTTATAACTCACAAAGAGTCATACATGTCAATGTTTTTTTCAGTTCCTGATCTAACATTTCACTGTGAGTTTCATCTGGATACAAATTGCATATCTTGAAATATACCTACAGTAATTTGGATGATGTAGTAAAATTGCATAGAATATCCCACCAAGAATTTAAAATCAATATTCCCTTTGCAGAACTGATTTCCAAATGTCTGCCTTTCTAATATGAGCAGTAGAATTTTTTCTGCAAAATAACAGAAAATGTAATTGATTGGATTTTAAACATTGTAGAGTGAGATACAATTTTGTTGAAAATATAAATAGCTAGGAATGTGTGGGAAAATAATGTATGTGGGAGGCTCAGGAGCTCTGAAGAACAGTGGGCTCACTCAGTATTTTGGAAAACATGAAAATTTTGGTTTTTTTTTATTCTGATTTGGAAAAAGAGTCATTCTACAATTTAGAAAGCTTGCTAGTTTAAAGGTATGAATTTCATGCTTGTAATAAGCATATTGTCAGTTTGCTTCTAAAGTCAGATACTATCTTGGAAAGACTTTTCACATTAGGAGTTCATGATAATGTCACGGGTAGACAATTATTCTATTTTGCAGCTTTTCTTAAAAGCTGTTTGGTAGCAGATAGGAATTATTTGGAGTAACTGTTTAAAGTTAAGCTGAAAATTGCTAAATTTGCAAAAGAGAAAGAATTTGGAGAGAATAAAAGACCAAACTCTGCTTTTCAACTTGGTCAGAGTACTATGAAGGCTAATCTGTGCAGATCCTCACAGTGTCTGTGATGCTGTTTTGGTTCCTCAGGTTCAGGTAATCCTTTGGATGGTTTAGGTACTTGTGCATATTGTGGGTACATTTCTTGAACTGGTTTCTCTTCAGTGGTCAGCTTCTGTCCTTGATCCTTAGAGGTTTTTCTGGCATTTGGTGGACTTCCGGAGTGTCACCTACTGTGTGACAGGAGTAGACTCAGTATTTGGCTTTCCCCTGAAGTGTTTAAGTATTGTGAGATCCTTGCTGATTTGTTGACTTACCTGGGTTACAATAAGGAAAGCATGATCCCAAGTATGATTTGCTTCTAGTACGCCAAGGAGACACCAGTCGGTTCATTGGCTTTTATACGTGATTAGCTCATATATGGGTGTATGGTTTGTTCATAGATTCATAGAATGGTTTGGGTTGGAAGGGACCTTAATATCATCTAGTTCCATCCGCCCTGGAAGGGAGACATCTTCCACTAGACCAGCCTGAGCTCTGAAACATGCTAAGTGAGGAAGGCATGGGTCCCTCATGGAACCTTGTTCAGCAATGAAAGAGTTCACAAACAACAAATATATAATTTTCTTTTCTCATTTTCCGTTTGTTTCAAAACCATGAGAGCTGGAGAATCCCTGATTTTTATTTTAATTGGGTAGCCAAGATTCTGTAGCAAATTTAAAAGTGATAAGCTTAGAAGAATAACCAAAAAGACAACAACAGCTCGCTAATCATCCTGTGGTGGTGATTTGGGTGAAAATACTGTGCCCAGTAGCTGATCACTTTGCAAGACAGCACACAGTGAATGGAAGAATTCCATCTACTATTGTTTATATGATTCTCACAGGGTCTCATAACTGTGAGATTATTCAAAATAGGTAAATTAATATCACTTAGATAAAGTACAATGCAAACAACACTGTTTACACCTGATGCAATTTCTATTCCACTGAGATTAAAGAAAAAAATGAGCATAATTAAAAAATATTCAGATCTGTTTGTTTGCATTAGAAAATATAGCTGTATGACTGTATTATTCAGCTAATTCATGAAGGGACTTTTAAAATCTCTGTAACTCTAGTGTCTGACCATGGAATAATCTTGTTTATTTGTTTCTCACAATGCCCTTTACAGATGGGTCATTACACTCTCTCCCATCTGGCAGATAGAAACAAGGCACAGAGAAAGGCTGGTGTAACAGGGAAATGAGTTTAATTGTTTTGAATACTAGCCTACTTTCCTCACTAAAGCAGAATTCTAGGAATTCAACTAACCTAAAAAGAATTCAGATTTGTGGCTTGTATGATAAAATAACGTACCTTACCTATTTAAGTAAATGTAGTATATCAGTAATTTTTGCACTTCTAGAAGTGAGCATATCTGTCAGTTGTTTTTTCAATGGAGATTGAATTTCACAAATGTACTCTGTGAAAATGAGGTAGATACCTGTGTTGGCATGTACGAAAAATAGTGGTTTCCATAGAGAATCATACTTAGGGTGAAAGAATGACAGATATTTATAAAACATAGAAATTATGTTTCGTTTATGTATCATTTTTATATATATATGTTACTTTGAACAAACTTTCAGTCAGTAGCCTACCCAGACAAGTAGTAGGTTTGCAAATGTACTTCCTCTTGTGAAAAGTTGCATTCATCTTTCTTTCACAATTTAACTTTCTGTATGTCTGTGCATGGATTTGTTGCCATTTTTTAAAGGGAAAGATCTCATTGCCAAGTTTCCTGGAGAAACATTCTATATAAAAATAATGTCTTTTCAAATGTTTTTGCAGCATCTGTAAAAGTGTTAAAGAGTATGTGTGAAAACTTTTATAAGTATGCAAAACCGAAAAAAATTAGAGTCTGTGTCGGGACATGGAATGTCAACGGGGGGAAGCAGTTTCGAAGTATTGCCTTTAGAAATCAGACCCTCACTGACTGGCTTCTAGATGCACCAAAGTTAGCTGGAATTCATGAATTCCAAGGTAAGATTTGTGTTCTGACAATTTTTTCTTGAAAATTCTGATTTTCGTAATTAGATCATAAACATTAAAACAGATATGTATATGTCTTGGTTCTTAATTATAAATTACAATTAGATTTTTTAATATTTAAATGCAGATCGCAAAAGCAAGCCTGTAGACATATTTGCCATTGGATTTGAAGAAATGGTGGAGTTAAATGCAGGAAACATTGTGAATGCCAGGTCGGTATACAATCTGTACAGTGCTGTTTAGTTGATAATCACATTTTTGAGTAAAATGTTATTTATTTTGTTGTTCTGTTTTGTAATGGTTTGGGTTAGTCTGGGTTAATTTTTGACTGTGTTCCAGTTCTCTCTGCCAGTTTCTGTGCCAGGATTGCAGACTTCATCTCAGCTTCCCTAGCAAAGCTGTGATCACTTAGATCATGTCTAATGTAATCTCAAGGATCCAAATAGTCACTACTTGGCCATATTTTGGATTAACCTTCAGCAGCCCCTTAACTTTTTCCTTCATTTAATACTTTGAAGGAATTTACCTCTGATACTTGTAGCATTCTGCGTTGTCTGTGCCTTCCTATTGCTTGGAACAGCAAGTCCTGTGAAATTCCTTCCAAGAGCATGTATTGTTGTTATGCCTTTATATAGTGTATTGCATCAAATTTTGATCTGTATAAAGCAAGGCTTCCTTCTGCACTGTCAGGTTTTGTTGTCATTCCATGAATTACATGTATATCAATGAGTTTGGATTTCGCAAATCTAGTAGAGGGCATTATGAAAAAATATTTTTACCAGTGGTGAAGTCTTGATGTGTAGTCCTATTCCCTTTGTCTGTTGTTTTGTCTGCCCATTTTTCATGCTTTCTAGTGTTTAGCTATAACACGTTGGAAGAAGCATCTAAAGCCTGTAATACTGTCAACCTTTGCACAGTCTTTTGTCTTGAGGAGTGGAAGTTTTGTCATCCCCTAATTTCACACTGTGTCTAGTTAACGCTGTCTCCAGGTCTGATATTTTTCATTTATTTCCGATACTAGCTTTGAAAACCATAGTCAGTTAGGTCTCTAAGGAAGTTTCTTCTTGATCAAAGACGTGGACATCTTGTTTTCCAATATTAACTTAGCTCTAGGCCAGAAAGTAGCTCCCTATAAAAATTCTTTGGTTTTGCTCCTCTAGTCTAGCCTCAGAAATAGAGGAAAGATAGCCCTGGCTCCTAACATTGTCTGTGGTGTTGAGAAAGTGAGGCAGCATTTTATGAGGCTGAATTTGAAATGATGATGTCATGACAGCTTGTGTCTCTGCTAGGAGGCATTTGAGCACCATTCACAACTTGGCTTTGCCTTGCTACCTCAGGGTTTAGTTTAGGTTGTTGTATGAAGGTTATCCAATTAGCTCAACAGTTTAGATACCTGCTCACTTGTTTTATTTTAAAATTGGCATTTTTCATCTCACTTCTAGCACAACCAATCAGAAGCTCTGGGCTGCTGAGCTGCAGAAGACTATATCAAGAGATTACAAGTATGTGCTGCTGGCTTCTGAGCAGTTGGTGGGCGTCTGCCTTTTTGTGTTCATCAGGCCCCAGCATGCGCCTTTTATCAGGTCAGTGAACACACAGCTGTGCGCAAGTTGGGTCACCTTCAGTTTGCTCTGGATTGCAAGCTAATGTACAAGTGTACTAAAAAGTGTATGAGTTGTTCCATCTTCTGGGAAACTAGTAGCTTAAATTCTTTTATCATGCTTAAATTATTTTATTCTTTTAGTTTTTAAATGCCTCATCAGTTGCCAAGAGAGCTTGAAAAGCTGAAGAGTTAAATTGTTACCTCCTCAGTAGCTGTTGGCATTGTGTTGAAAAAGCCCAGTGGCCTTACTGCTGAAAGAACAATGTGAAAATGTTCTCTTACCAGCATAATGTCTTACTCAGACATACTTAAAGCTGTTAACTTCTGTGCCATTGCATTTGAAGGTTTAATAGTTGTTTAACTCTTTCAGGGATGTTGCTGTTGACACTGTAAAGACTGGCATGGGAGGAGCCACTGGTAATAAAGGTGCAGTAGCAATTCGGATGTTGTTCCATACATCCAGTCTTTGCTTTGTCTGCAGTCATTTTGCTGCAGGGCAATCACAAGTTAAGGAGAGAAATGAAGACTTCGTAGAAATAGCTCGGAAGCTCAGTTTTCCAATGGTAAGCAACAGTGTTCAAATTCCATAGTGAATAATAAGTTAAACCCTTTGAGCTCCAGCAGTTTCATCCAAAAGCTCTATTTATTTTTTGCACCTCCTCAGATTCCTGTGGAAATCAAATTTCCTTGGGTTAGAGGCCTCAGAGATAACTACGTTCCCACAAGTTTTATTGAAATAGATGACTGCAGAAAAAATATACCTTTCCAGTGTAATGACCGATAGAGATGGTGATGCATGAATTCAGTGGCTAGCATTAGGCATCAAGGATTTAGCATAGGAGAAAGACCTGATAGATTCCTGACATGCAGTGTAACTTTTGTAGGCACTGGAGTTAATCAACTATGAGAAAAAAATACATGGAAAACAGCACTATTTTCAGCACACATTTCAGTATACTCATTTTAACTTCTTTTTCACTCATTTTTGTCAAGTTGGATTGTGCAGTTCTGCACCATATTCTCATAAAGGATTATCAAACACCAAGTAAAAGTAAATTGATGCTTTCATCAGTGCAACAAGATTCTTTCTTGAGACTTAAAGCTGTCTTAAATGTTGTAGTTAAACTGTCCTTTGTTACTTTTTATGGCACTGTGCAGGATTCTCAGATCTTATTTTATAGGGTTTTTTTTTAATTTCTGTATTTGTCCCCATGGTCATGTTTCAGTTTTTCTTGAAAGTACTGTATTATTATGGTCCCCTGAAACAGTTTCCTAAATGCTGCCGTTTTAATCTGCCAGTTTATCTGCTTTGATTTATTTAAGAGCAATGCAGAAATCAAAACAAAGAAGTAAAATTTCTCACTTTAAGCCTTCAGTTTTGTCTGAACTAACAGAGCCCTTCTGTCTCTCCCTAGCCGTAAAATTATATGTAATTGAAAAGTCTTCAAATAATCTCAAGGTTCCAAACAGTCGATACTGTTTTGCCATTTGTCGGGATATTATGCCACAATATCCCAGGGTAGTATTTTGTTCTCCTTTGTAACCTATTTGTGACATATATATCAGTTGCCATCTCAGAGCAGACTTCTAAAACAGGAGTAGAAAGATGAAGAGTTTTGGAATCCAATTTACATGATTCATGTTTTCTTTAGAAACTACATAAGAGATGTTGCTGCTTCTTTCATATTCTGTGTGTGTGAATACCGTACACTTGGCTATGTTGTTCTACCATATGAACAGTAAATACTATTGTGTATTTCAGTTGTCCTCATCAGCTTGAAATGATGCATTATGTTTTAAAGTCAGAAATTGAATTTCTGAATCTCTTGGAAGTTTTTAACTTCATTGTGTGCCTCTGTTTGACAGGGAAGGATGCTCTTTTCCCATGATTATATCTTTTGGTGTGGTGACTTTAATTATCGAATTGATATTCCAAATGAGGAGGTTAAGGACCTAATACGACAACAGAACTGGGACTCCCTTATTGCAGGAGACCAGCTTATGAATCAGAAAAATTCTGGACAGGTATCTTAAACATATTACTTAAAAATGCTTTATTTTTAGTTTTGGCTTTAGCAGTTTTCTGTGGTGCTTCTGTAAACCTATATCCTCAGTATGTTTTGCTTATCACTTTTTTCCAGATAGTGGTATGGAAGGGTGCGACAGCAGCATTTAATAACTTATTCATAGTAACTGACCTGAAGAGCCAGTGACACCAAAAAAGGAAACGCTATCATCTATTAGAACTTTATGTTGGAATTTACTACTTACATATATATATATTTTAAGCAGGTGCAACTGTTAAAATATATATCTATAGAAGTTATTTTGGTAATGTTACCAGTTGCTTTAAATTGCTGCAATAATAGGTCTAATGCTGCTACTGTGTCATTTTCTTGGACAAAGTCATAGTCCAAATTGTAGACCTTTCTACTTACTTTGTTGCTACAAAAAACAGAGTAGTAAAGTCTGAAGAAACCTTCAGATTTTTAATTTTTAGGGTTTCTTTCAGGTAGCTTCCATAGATCTTTCCAGCTTTATAACTGCTCTAAGTGTCCCCAAATCCTCTATACATCTCTTGTTTTGGTCACATTACCAAACAATCATGCTGTCTGCCCACTTGAATGTACATCTCAATTTATGTAGGAACTGGGCTTTAAAAAAAATAAATTGAAACTTATCAAGTGTTTTCCCTCCAGCACGTAGCAACTAACAGAATATTTGTAATTAATTAAATTTTGTGTGCAACTGTATGTCATTTCTTTCCAGCTTTATGTGGGAATGCTGTAGATGGTAAAATGACAGATAATCCCCTGTTGCCTCTGTTGTTAGTTTTGTCTACTTGCCAACACTTTGATCATAAGTAGTGTTTTTTCTGAATTAGAGTTCTCTTCCATTTGTGCTGGTGTCTTGTGCACCGGAACAGGAGGGAAAACAGTTGAAAAGTTTCAGTTTATTTTTTTGAAAGCCCAGTTCCTACATAAAATGAGATATACATTCAAGTGGGCAGACAGCGTGATTGTGTGGTAATGTGACCAAAACGAGAGATGTATAGAGGATTTGGGGACACTTAGAGCAGTTATAAAGCTGGAAAGATCTATGGAAACTACCTGAATATGAAAAAGACTCAAAATAAATCTCCTGACTGGGGAGAAAAAAGGGGGTAGTATTGCATTATTGGGTAATACTCCCTTATTTGAAAGTGACTGACTGGGCAGCAGCAGGTATCAGTTGGCTATCCAGGGTAGCTCTGTGATTGCATGTGGTTGTTATCTGGTGTATCTGCTGTTCAGGAAAGGCATTTATATAGCTATTTTAAGTAGGTTAAGAAACAATTATCGGAGGCAGAGAAATTGTCTAAGAAGTTGTGGATCTTCTGACATTGATCTTCCGACACAGATTTTTAAATTGGCTGGATTTCAATTTATATTTCCAATAAGAAAAGCAGGCTAACCTGTCATCTGATGCAGACCTAAGTTCGTTTTCTATTTTTCAGATCTCTGATGTTAAATAAAACTCACCATAAAAGTTTAAACTTAACACTGGAGCTGGTTAAGATAACTAAAGGGTATTAGATTAGTTCTAGTTTAGACACTTAAGGAGGGAACAAATCTCCTGGCCTTCTAGGGTCTTGTGTCAGCTGACTCTGTCTGTTTATGTTGCAAAGTACCTAATGGATTTTTTGATTCATTTCAGTTGACACTGTATCTCTAAATACCATACGTCCTCTTGGCAGATAATACCTCCTTTTATTCTGTTTTCTTATTCGCTTGAGAAAAAATGGTGATACCCCCTCTCTCTGTAATATTTCAGTTCATATCAAATATATTAAGGACTCTTTCTGTCTCCCACCCCGACCTCCTATTTATAGCTGTCTTGTGTCAATTTGGGGGAATGTTTAGCATGTTTAGATAGATACATGGAATATAAACCTTAATTCCCAACTTTTGCTGACACATGAGCAGCTAACCAGCTAATTAAAGTGCTGTGGACAGCATCTGTGTTCTGGATGACCACAAGTTCTGAATGACGTTAGAGGAACTGTAGGTTGCTCATCAGCCTGGGTTTAAAGATATAAATGTTGGCATACTTCTGTTTGATGATGATCTATCTGGGTCAGGGTCACTATTTAGTCTTAGTGGCAAATGTAGGGTGTTTTCAGCAGATAAAATTTGGAGAAGGATTCATATTATCAAATTACTATTTTTTTTTTTATGTTTACAGATTTTCACTGTTAGAAAAGAGAATTCTCATTAGTTTCAAGCAGTTTCCCATCTGTTTCTGTCTTCTGGCATGACGCATAACTGCCTTGTTTCTTACAGATTTTTAGGGGATTTTTGGAAGGCAAAATAAATTTTGCTCCCACATACAAATATGATCTGTTTTCTGATGACTATGACACCAGTGAAAAATGTCGCACACCAGCATGGACGGATCGTATTCTCTGGAGAAGAAGAAAATGGCCTTTTGACCGATCAGGTTTGAGTGCTTCCTTAAGTTGTTTAAAGTATTCTTTTCACTGGCTTATAGAATCCGATTAGTGACATTCACAGTGCTAGTGATTCTGAACTTCTGTCCCTGACTTTGTATGAAACAAAGCTGATAATAGCATCTACAGTAAACACAGTGATGCTGAACAAGAGGATCAAGAATCAGGTGCCAGTTACTGATATTTCAGTACTTCAAAAGTACTGGTTTTATCTGTAGAACACTTGGTTTTGGTTTACTTTCTTTTTTCTCTATTTACAAATAATTTATTTTTTAAAGCATGTTCTTGCAATCATGGTGGTTTTCCCCTTTTGTTTTCGTTAATACTGGCTGTAGCTGAAGACCTGGATCTTCTGAATGCTAGTTTTCACAGTGACAGTAACGTCCCTTATACATGGAATCCTGGTACTTTGTTGCACTACGGAAGAGCAGAGCTGAAAACATCTGATCATAGGTTTCAGTTTTATTTTATACATTACTTCCTAATAATTGAAAATTTGATACTCATATTGCATACTTTGTTGTTCAGATACTCTGCTTACAGCTCTTTCTTGTATATTTCAAAGGCCTGTGGTTGCATTGATTGACATTGACATATTTGAAATTGAAGCAGAAGAGAGACAAAAGGTTTATAAGGAGGTGATTGCAATGCAAGGACCACCTGATGGTACTGTAATGGTCTCCATCAAAAGTTCTTCAGCAGAAGAAAACTATTTTGATGACAACTTAATTGATGAACTTCTTCAAAAATTTGCAGGCTATGGTGAAGTTATACTTATAAGGTTAGAAAGACTTTTTACGTTTCATCTTCATTTCTCTTCATTGTTCCCACCTATTTCTTGAATAAAGTTACTTTCATAGTGGGCATTTCAGTTACAATCTGCTCTGCTTAATTTTTAACATTTAGATTTCAACTTCCATGTCTTTACAGATAAAAGTAAGTTGTACATACCTGTATGTGTCTTAGTTTTCAGACTTAGTTTTTCCTGTTCCTCTTTATTTTTGAGATAGAGTATCCTACTGACTTTGTATTGTAAAATTAAGTTAGTAATTTTAAAAGACTAAACTGTTAATTGAACTGTAAGTGTTGTGGTATTTTGTTGGGGCTTGGGGGTTGTTTTGGTTAGAATTGGGTTTTGTGGGTTGGGTTTTTTTGGTTGATTGGGTGGGGGGTTTTTTTCAGAAGACTAGGAGCATAGTTCCAAGTCCGTATTGTGATGACACGTGGAACAACTAATACAAATATCTAACCTGTAAGCCACACAACTATTGTTGAATGTGTAACTGTAGTCATATAATTTTTAAGAGGACAGTGCTTTCACTCTGTGTTATTTACCTGGTTCTCTCTTTTGCTTGTTGTTGTAAGGATGCATTCAGTTAAAGCTTATTAACCAATTATATTTTAACGAACTTAATAAATAATTCTTCTCTGTGAAATGAACCACTGAAAAACCTTTAAGAGGCTTAAAAAGTCAGTTGATAGGATAAAATATTTTAATTATTGTTTCCAATGGGCTTTGCAGGTTTGTAGAAGACAAGATGTGGGTAACATTTTTGGAAGGAAGCTCTGCTTTGAATGTTATGAATTTGAATGGTACTGAGGTAATGCAAAAATTACTGAACTTTCCTATAGGAAGAGAAAATCCAAATTTCTTAAGACTACTTGACTGGGGCCAGGGCTTTTAATTTGTCCATTTTTTTTTAAGAATAAAGTTTTTCATGTTCCATACCAGGCTGTTGCATCCAATTTTATTTTGCGGGGTTTTTTTGTTTGGTTGGTTTACTTTTAGTAGTCACGTAGCTTTATTAATGTAGTGTATAAGCAAGTCTTGTTTTTCTTTTCGAAGAGTAGTGTTTCTGTTGGAATAAAGAAACCTGAAGTTTTCCTGTTAACTAAAAAGGAAAATCTTATGAGACAAGTTGTTAGTTTTTCTTTAGGGAAATATTAAATAGCTATAATTAACAGTTTAAACTGCGTAAATGTACTTAATTACCAAAATGAAGTGAAAAGCATAATTACTTCTGTGATGTGTCAGTATTACTTTTTAGTGCCAGAAATTCTGATAACCTTACTTGTGACATTTTCAGTATTTTTTGTTTGTTTGTTTTTAAATCTAGAATGCTGAATTTTAACAGTTTCTGGTTTGTGCATACCCTTTTTGTCAATTCAGCTACTAGGAAGGATTATAAACATAAGTTTGAAAAATCCAGATTGGATCAGAACTTTGGAAGATGAAATGAATCTAGAGAAGATTAATATTGCGCTACCTTCATCAACAAGCTCCACTTTGCTTTGTGAAGATGCTGAGGTTACTGCTGACTATGATATGGAAGGTGTGTTGAAATAAAGCACTTATCATTTTGAAATGTTTACAGTCCTAAATAATGTGGTTAATTTAATGCATATATAAATACTTTAACAAGTTTATACCAGTCTTAAATAGATAAATTAGAAATCCTATTATTTCCAGTAATATCTTGACAACTTGTTGAGGAGTGTTAGTTTGCACTTGTATCTCAAGGTTTTACTAATTTGCTGACAGTCTTCATTCTTCTCAATTTATCCTGTGACCTACCCTCTCAGGGTCACTTCTTTCAGGCAACTTTTACTGTTGATGAAGACACCCTATAAGCAGGATATACAAAACTTCAGAGTGCAAAGCAATTATTTTTTTTGCCAATGTGCATAATACATTAATAGGACACTGAATATTTACCACCCCCAAGAAGACAACAGGTAAGCCTTTGACAGGCAGGCAGATATGAGTGAGGCAAGGAAACCTTCAATCTCTGTTGCTCTTGAAATGGGCTGATCTTTGGAATTGATGAGTTTCATTTCACTGGTTTTTGTCAGTTTTGTTTTTTCACCGGAGGGTTTTTTATATCTTTTCATGTCATACTTCTTTAGCATAATCCTCAAGTTGCTGAATATCACTATTGCAGCAATAGTGCCTCTGCATTTTTGCCTTTCTTTACTTGCATGTTTCTTATCTATGGACTTTGTCACATCTTATTTTTTAATCTGTTAATTAATTTTTAGGAAAGATCTGATTCACTCTCTTCTCTACATTGAAAAATATTCCTCTTATATCGTTTGCAAATAAAACAGCTGTTTTTTGAACAGCAGCAAAGCCACACACGCACACCCCTTACCTGCTGACACTTCCTGTGTGTATTGCGTTTCCATATGTATTTTACAAGGTTGTTTTTTGTAACTACTTGAACAGATGTAGTTTCTAGATGTAGTCACTGTGTCTATATTGATTTATTCTGAGTAGTTCATTTGCTTTGAATTTCTATCCAAGCTCCTTAAGGGTAAACATCATGTTGCAAAAGTTTCAAGAAAACAGATGGCGGTTATGTATACTGAAAAGAGTAGACTAAAAGGGTTTTTTACAAAGGTGTTTCAGAAAGGGATATATGTTTTGGTAAGGGTACATGTATGGGAAACCTGCATGAAGAGTTGGAATTGGTGATAGTCTCAATGTCATAAGGTGCTTCATCTGTTTTCCAATGCAGGTAGAAAACAGGACTTTCACAGTTTAGATGCTTCTATGGTTGGTTGTTTTTATTAATAGTCCTCTGTGAAATAGCATGATTCCCTTCAAATGTGACATCTCGAATCCCACAAGACTCTTGGATCAAGAGCTATTATCTAATTGGCAGCCTGATTACTCTGTTACTGCTGAGCAGTAACTTTAATTTCTAAGATGGAACTTCTGTAGAACAGTGTTGTTCATGAACCTTGGAAGAGAGGATTACTATGGTCCTGTTGGACTGCGATGGGATAATTGTCTATTTTAGGCATTTTGAATATCAACATGAAAATATTCTAAATTGACAGTTTATTTTTCACAGGCAGGTCCATGTTGAACCTTTTTTTTTAAACATCATTCCACCTTTTCAAACAGAAGGTATTACAAATAGAAGATATCTTAAAATCCCCTGCCCAGCCTTCTGAAGTATAAGTGAAGCTTGCCATCTATTGCAAACCAGGGAAATAATTTTTGCAGAGATCTTCTTTGTAAAGCTGATTGTTTGGTTAAGCAATGTTATGGTTGCCACTCTATTATAATTACCAATAATATATTTCCATAATACATATTGTGCATTTGGAGTATTTTCAACCAGTTTGAATATATATGCATTCTTCATATATAATTTTACGATGCAAGAATCATGCTTTGGTTGCTGAGCTAATTCCTTGGAACTTGAAGGTTTTTTGTAGAAAATCTCATGCCTAGAATAAGTTTATAATTTCTCCACTTTTTAAAACAAAAACCTATTGTTTCCTTTATTTTACATGATTTTTCTTCTTTGGGGTGTTATTTAGGAGACATTGATGACTACAGTGCAGAAGTAGAAGAAATCCTTCCTCAGCATCTGCAGCCTACTTCAAGCTCTGGTCTTGGAACCTCCCCAAGCTCTTCGCCACGTTCCAGTCCCTGTCAGTCCCCTACGCTGTCAGATGGACCTGCCCTCCCAGTGAGACCGAGCAGAGCACCAGCAAAAACTCCTGGACCACCTGTTTCCCCACACAGTGTGTATTAAATTGCTCAACTGCCTCTATTACTACTATACAATCTGGCAGCCCTCTGTCCCAGTGGTAGATTATTTTTATGGATTATGGATTATTTTTAATAGAGCTTTTAGATTAATATAAAAGGCTATTCTTATCATTATCTAGTGTTTTCTGCATAAGTGGCAATGGGCAAATCGCCTCATTCTTTGTCTTGGTTCTAATGAGCAGTAGAAGAGCTTTGTTTCCAGTGTCCATGGATCTGCACTGCTGCAAGCTACCTAACTTGCTCTAGCTCTTTAGCATTTCATCACGAAAGAGACAGCTCAAAAAGTTATGTGGTTAATAGGCTTTCTAATATGATTAGTTTTAAACCTCTGCTGAAAAATTCCTTTGTAGTGTGTCAGTATCATCTTAATTCGCTTCAGTCATACTCTTCAAATACAGCCCATTTCAGTTAATGCTCCTATCAGCCATAATATGTAAATTGTAATATGTAGGTTTGTAAATAGCCTGTGTAATATGAAAGCTACTATTTAAACACAACTTTATTTCAGTGACAAAGGTGATATTTAAAATTACAGTGTTTGGAATAGCTTCTAGAGCAGTTTATTTCAATGTAATTTGGAGTACCTTCACAAAAACTGCTAAAATTCCTTCAGAATTCCCCTTGTAACAATTTTTTCTAGAGCACTTAGTTCAAAATTTGGAACTCTTTAATTTCTAAGAATGTTCAGGATTCTATGAAAAGCATGTACTGATTAAAGCATATGAGACAATAATCTTGGCTTAGGGAATCTGCTGCTTTTCTCCATTGGCTTATTCCTTTTGTTTTCCCTCTCTCAAAAACTTTGTTTCCAGGGCTGATGACTGACTGTCCTCTGCAAAAATAACTTGCTATTAGAACAGCTTTACTGTGATTAGAATGTACAAGTAATTAATGTTTGCATTGTTTTCTGTCAGCTGAATTTCAGGTTGGCACCCAGCAGAAAGAGTCTTCTCAGAGCCTGGAGCCTAAGCGTCCTCCTCCACCTCGCCCAGTTGCTCCTCCTGCGCGACCCGCTCCACCACAGAGGCCACCTCCACCATCAGGTAATGCAGTAATGTGCATCAGGTGGTCAGGAGTATTTTGTGTCAAGTTTGTGAGGTGACCTTTGAAGTCCACACCCAAACTATATATTACATTTTGGCTTGGGACTCAATGGAACAAACCATTTTTTCACCAAAATGTTGAGTTGGTACATTTAATAGTAATAACTCTATGGGAAATAACAGCATTTTCCAGTACCATTTAAATACTGTTGTCTTTGCTTAGTGAATAAGTTTAAAAAAAATTATAAACTTTCACAATTTAAAAGTGCGGGCTTCCTACAGCAGTGTTTACTCAACATTTTTATTTCTATAGCATCTTCATTTTTAAAAGACAAATAGTCTTGTGCATTCATTGATTATATTCCTTTAATTTGGGCATCAGTATGTGTGCATTTTATCATGTCGAAGTTCTTAATATAGAGTTCATCTGGATCATCTGAAAATGTAAACAATTGAGCACTAAGAGAAACTGGATGTTCAGAAGCATATGGGCAACATAATTAATAACTAACTGACCCTTGTCATTTTAACTTTCTCATTCTTTTTCTTCCCTCTTACTGTACTGATACTTTTCATTATTGCTGCATTCATTTCTTAAATACTGTAAGGCGGTAGGAGTCCTGCACCTGCTAGAAAAGAATATGGAGGTAATGATTTTAATTGTTTTCAAATATGACTATGTAGCAAAACTACTATGATGGTCTGTTATGCCAGTACTTAATATGATGATGTCCAAAGGTATAAAAATGGGTGATACTTGAATGTCAATGTAATCACTTTCTCAGGGTTTATATCCCCTTCTGAATTACATTTGACTTTTTAGTGAGATAGTATTTCTCCAGAAGTTGCTATATTATAGTCAGAGAGATTAAAATTGTCACGGGTATTTATTACTTGGTCCTGGTCAAAATACACCATGCTAACTTTTCTATCGAAGCAGAAACCTGTGTTTATTTGTGAAAGGCCAGCTTTTTTCCTCACAGTCTACAACAAGGAGCATTGCAAAACTGATTGCGATTGTGGCTACTTGCAGTGGTTGGCCATTAATTAATTGTTCAAGTTGAAACTACTGCTGATGGGTAGTTTATTTTTTGTTTCCAAGTCCGATATGTGCTCCTAAGTCCTTCCTAGAGACATGAAACATCCTCTGTGGTTCTTGGAACTAGCCTATACTTCAGAAACACAAATTTAGCAAAGGAATTTATTTGGTTACTTTGAAGTCATTTGAGAGCTACATGTCTGTACTCTTGTAATTCCTTCCCTCTTGATAATGCTGGTGATCTTATCAACCCTTCTGACTAGTTTTGGTTTTTCCCAGCTTGGTCTGGTTTTGCATGTAATACCAACTTACACATTCTCAGAAGTGCTTCTTCTGGAAACTAATCTTTGTCCTTCTTTGTCCACACTTCGTAACTGAGCTGTTCTGCTTGGACCTAAATCAGCTCATTAATACATGGGATAGAGTGAGAATAGTGAGTGGCTCTGAAATACTTTCTTAATGGCTCTTCAGATACTACCACTTAGTTGGTAGGAAAGAGGAGTTTTTGAGAAAATAATTCATAAGCTTTGAGCAGTCTCAGAAAATAAGCAAAACTATTTTACATAGTATTTAAATATCCACTAACTTAGTCTGATCTCTGGCAGAGATGTGCATGGCTCTTAGATGCACTTGAGTGGAGGAGATCATTATGCCAAAGGCATAATATCTCAAATTAGTTAAAATGCTTAAGTTTTAAAATATGGCCAATTTATACATAATGTGTTACCTATGTGAGATTTTTTTCTTTATTCTGCTTCAGCCTTATAGTTTTATCTGCACTGATACAATCCTGTTTGCCTGATTTGTTCCAGTTGTGCAAAAACTAGCTTTTTTTACCCTTTTTCCCCACATAGCTTCCCATAAAGAACTGTAACTTGCATAAAACTTGCTTTTTATGCAGTCTTTTAAAAGAGATTGTGATGACCTGAAGTTCATCCCACTTTTTCTGTCCTCCTGATTTTCCACTCATGATGTACATTTATAAGTCATAATGCTTTGCTGTTCTGCAGTACCCGAGCTCAGCTCAGAGCAAGTTAGCGCAGGACTGGAAGCAGCATAAATGTCATAGTGTGATACCACGCTTGGGGAAATGACATCTGTTTGTTTTACCTAGAAGGCTTCTAAAGCACTGTGAAAATGTCCCTGTGTACTGTATATCAAACTTTTAGACTTCTGTAGCACATGCAAAGCGACACTGATCATGTCTTTAAAATGTAACATCTTAAATGTTACGGGTTTTTTTTTGCTCATGTGTTCTAACCTTTTTTTTCTGAGTGCTGCACTGCCTTCAATGCCCATAACATTTCTTCTGATGGCTCAGTATGCTTTGGAGACAGGAGCAGGATTTGGGCATCTAAGGTTTAGGGGGTTTTGTAGAGTTTGGTCATATTTTACATCAGAAGTAACTCAGAATTCAAGGGAACAAGTCTATATGCTTATTGCAGGGGGTTGCAAAGTGTAGACTTATTGCCTGCTAATGCCAAAGATGTCCACTGAGGATTTTATAAGCTCTCATTGTTCATAGTTAAAAAATAAAATGTTGCACTCTGTTTACGCAAGATTTTTTTTTTAATACATTACAGAGTAAATGTTTACAGAACATAAAAAATTATAAAGGCTGCTGGTTATCAATTACTTAAAGTTAAAAAGAATATTTCTTTTGTTGTGTTTTTTCCTATAATAATATTAGTCAGACTTTTCCTGATTAATGCAGGAAAGGCTTATAGTTGTCTCTTATCATTGGTTTAAACTGTTAAAATGGGGTGAAGATTGGGTTAAGACTGAGGGAATGCGTAGTATTTTCAGTATATGCAACAACATGGGTAAAATGCACTACATTTTCAATGGGATTATCCTCCAAATAAATAAACTTAGAAAAAACAGTACTCAAGTTGACATTAAAAGAAATGCAAGTACGTTAAGCTATGAAAGTGCGTGCACCCAAACAGCAAGTACTTAGTAGTGTACACTGATAATTATAGTCACTCATTAAACTTAGTCTTCCAGGAACCATTCAACATCATTATTTTTCTCCTGTAGCTTTTTTTTTTTTTCAGAGCATTGTTCAGGTGCATTGGGATATGTCAGTCATTTTGAAAAAGCTCTTTCTTCCTTCTTTCTATTTTTTTAAATATGGAGAACTACCTTCTTTTCTTGGTGAAGAAGAAATGTTCAGTAATGGCGGAAACAAGTAGCCTTACACAGTAAATGCATTGTTCAAATATAGGCAAATAGCCGAGATTTCATATATAGAATCATAGAATAGTTAGGGTTGGAAAGGACCTTAAGATCATCTAGTTCCAACCCCCCTGCCATGGACAGGGACACCTCACGCTAAACCATATCACCCAAGGCCTCGTCCAACCTGGTCTTGAGCACTGCCAGGGATGGAGCATTCACAGCCTCCCTGGGCAACCCATTCCAGTGCCTCATCACCCTAACAGGAAAGAATTTCCTCCTTATATCCAGTCTAAACTTCCCCTGTTTAAGTTTTAACCCATTCCTCCTTGTCCTATCACTACAGTCCCTAATGAAGAGTCCCTCCCTAGCATCCCTATAGGCCCCCTTCAGATACTGGAAGGCTGCTATGAGGTCTCCACGCAGCCTTCTCTTCTCCAGGCTGAACAGCCCCAACTTCCTCAGCCTGTCTTCATACGGGAGGTGCTCCAGTCCCCTGATCATCCTCGTGGCCCTTCTCTGAACTTGTTCCAACAGTTCCAAGTCCTTTTTCTGTTGAGGACACCAGAACTGCACACAATACTCCAGGTGAGGTCTCACAAGAGCAGAGTAAAGGGGCAGGATCACCTCCTTCGACCTGCTGGTCACGCTCCTTTTGATGCAGGCCAGGATACGGTTGGCTTTCTGGGCTGCAAGCGCACACTGAAGCCGGCTCATGTTCATTTTCTCATCAAGCAACACCCCAAGTCCTTCTCCACAGGGCTGCTCTGAATCTCTTCTCTGCCCAACCTGTAGCTGTGCCTGGGATTGCTCCCACCCAGGTGTAGGACCTTGCACTTGGCATGGTTAAACTTCATGAGGATGGCATCAGCCCACCTCACAAGCGTGTCAAGGTCCCTCTGGATGGCATTCCTTCCCTCCAGCGTATCAACCGAACCATACAGCTTGGTGTCATCGGCAAACTTGCTGAGGGCGCACTCAATCCCACTGTCCATGTCACTGACAAAGATGTTGAACAAGACCGGTTCCAGCACCGATCCCTGAGGGACACAACTCGTTACTGGTCTCCAGCTGGACATTGAGCCATTGACGACAACTCTTTGTGTGTGGCCATGCAGCCAGTTCTTTATCCACCGAGTGGTCCATCCATCAAATTGATGTCTCTCCAATTTAAAGACAAGGATGTCGTGTGGGACAGTGTCAAACGCTTTGCACAAGTCCAGGTAGATGACATCAACTGTGCTGCCCCTGTCCATCAGTTCTGTAGCCCCATCATAGAAGGCCACCAAATTGGTCAGGCAGGATTTCCCCTTAGTGAAGCCATGCTGGCTGTCACCAAGCACCTTGTTGTTTTTCATGTGCCTTAGCATGCCTTCCAGGAGAATCTGCTCCAAGATTTTGCCAGGGACAGAGGTGAGACTGACTGGGCTGTAACTCCCCGGGTCATCCATTTTCCCCTTCTTGAAAATGGGGGTTATATTTCCCTTTTTCCAGTCATCGGGAACTTCTCCTGACTGCCAGGATTTCTCAAATATGATGGCGAGCGGCTTCGCAACTTCATTCACCAGCTCCTTCAGGACCCAAGGATGGATCTCATCAGGACCCATGGACTTGTGCACGTTCAGATTTTTAAGATGGTCTCGAACCAGATCCTCTCCTACAATGGGCGCAAGGTCTTCATTCTCACAGTCCCTGCATCTGCCTTCCAAGACTTGGGTGGTTTGGTCAGAGCATTTGCCAGTGAAGACCGAGGCAAAGAATTCATTCAGAACCTCAGCCTTCTCCAAATCCTGTGTAGCCAGTTTTCCTGAGGGCTTCCTGAGGGGGCCTACATTCTCCCTAGTCTGGCTTTTATTTGCTATGTACCTGTAGAATCCCTTCCTGTTATCCTTAACATCCCTAGCCAAGTTTAATTCTAACTGGGCCTTAGCTTTCCTAACCTGGTCCCTAGCTTCCCGGACAGCATTCCTGTACTCTTCCCAGGCTGCCTGTCCTTGCTTGCACTTATTATAAGCCTCTTTTGTCAATCAAATTTTCCTCAGGAGCTCCTTATCCATCCAAGGAGGTCTCCTGGCCCTCCTGCTGCACTTCCTTCTGGTTGGGATGCAACACTCCTGAGCTTGTAGCAGGTGATCCTTGAATATCAACCAAGAGTCTTGGGCCCCTCTGCCCTCTAGGGCTGTATCCCATGGAACCTTCCGAAGCAGGTTCCTGAAGAGGCCAAAGTCTGCTCTTTTGAAGTCTAGGGCAGTGAGCTTGCTGCACGCTCTTCTCACTGTCCTGAGGATCTCAAATTCGAGCATCTTGTGATCGCTGCATCCAAGGCTGCCCTGGAGCGTCACATTTCCAATGAGCCCTTCCCTGTTATATAAGCACACACAGATATACACACATACACTTGTGTACATATATGCACATTTTACTTTAAGAGAAGTTGGGGTTTCTTTATTTTCAATAAAGCTAATGTGTATATGTAACCTTTGCAAAGCATGGAGTTCTGTCTAAAGATGTCAAGGCAGGAGTTACAGTTTGTTTCTATGTAAATCCAGTCACTTTCCTTAAATACTGTTTAAAGCAAGTATGTGATATCTTTACTTGCAAAATACTGTTTCAAACTGCAATAGAGATTTTAAGCCATATACAGACTAGAGTAGCAGTTTAACATGCTACCCAAAAATGTGTTTCACGATCAGATACAGATTTTTTCACTGTCCTTAAGATTAAAATCCTCCTATAGTGCCAATTATGATAGCATTATCACAGCACCACAATTTTACTTTCTCACCATTAAAGAATACTATTATCAAGTAAAATTTGAGGTATTTGACCTTTATGCCCTTTCTCTCCCATATAATGAATATTTTTAAAATTGCAAAACCTTTCAAAATCCTCATGCATGAAAGTCTTCCTATGTATGGTGTGCCAGCGTAGAGACATGTCTGTGGTCAAAGAGGTTCCCTACTGCCTTTTGCCTGAAAGGAGTTTACTTTATAAATCATCTTGCATAAACCGAGATTTGCTTAACAAGAGCATCCTGAAAATACCTATTATAAGTATGGGTTGAGTTGAGCTTTGGAAGGGGAATGTGCAGATCCGTGAAATGAACAGGCTCATTCCTTGCTCTTGGAGAGGTTTTATTGTGCCCCTTTCCATTAATACTCTGAGATGAACAGTTAGCTGTTCAGAGGGTTCAGTGGAGTTTCCTGTATTCTGTTGGGCTGCTCTCCACCTTCCTTTATTTTCCTCCAGGTAGCAGGTAGGCTTCTCATAGCTTATGGGTTACCACTTACTTTCGTCTCCTGGGGTTCCTCTGGGTTGCATGGGAGCTAGAACCTGAAAGCAATTATGTGTTCTCAGGCAGCATTCTCCTCGTGTGCCCCCTCCTTGCAAATGCTCTCTGTTCATCCCTCCTCAGTGCTGCTTCTCTTGCAGAGAAGTTCACTATCAGAAACTTTTGCAATGTATATCTAATGTTAATTGGCAGAGCCTGAAACTCACCCGGAATGTATAACATATGCTAGTATTTAACATCTTTGAACCAGATGTTCAGCAAAACCAGAGATATGACATATCCGGAGATAATCACATACCAGCCTCATGCAGCCTTCACTCTTCCTACTCTGAGTGACACCTCCACCCATATCTGACAAAATTCACAGCACTCTTTCCAGATCATAGAGAGCTCCTGAGCAGATACCACACATTGGCACATGATGAGAAAGCATGAGGCTGTGTCATCGCTAAGGCAAAAGTTGTTTTTAAGGTAGGCTTCTTGAACACTGGCTCCCTTTCCTTCCTCTGTACTTGAGCCACTCCAGAGTTGCCAGATATTACTGGTACTTTTTCCTATGTGCATGCCTTAAGGATTTCTCCTTGCATACGGTCTAGTGTTATGTATGTCCTGCCATGTTTTTACCATACAATTTTAAGGATCCAGTATGTGCTTGATCATACTGCAAAAACAAAACAATTCAGCATGGTTATGCATGATTAAAAATCTTCTTTCAGTCTGAACTGTAACATCTACTGTCCACCATTTGATACAGCTTTCCTAACTGCAGAATGCTACTTGAACATAACTTCGTCATACAGTTCTGTAGGATACTTTTATATAGAGTGGGAAACATTTCTTCCATAATATTGCTTATACACATGTAGTCTTGGCAGAAACATACTACACAGTATTTCTTCTAAAATTCAGGAAGCAGACTTAATGTTACAGGTTATAACTGATGTACCTGTTTATTTTCACACGTCTGAATATAGGCATGTGCTCTGCTTTCACAGAGTTTCAAGACTGACGTTTAAGACCATTCTGAATTTATAAAAGTTTGTGGAGAGTGAATACTGAAGAAATGAAATTACCTTCCACTGTAATGTAAAATTGAAATAATAGCATGTTTCTAAACATGATTGTTGTTCATATCAGTCTGGTTTCCCCATGCTGCTACAAACAGTTATCTCCTACAAGTAACATAATTCAGCTAGGCATTTTTTTAATTGTGTAAAGCTGTCTTGTGGCAGTGTCTTTCTGGTTTTACTTTCTCAATCTACTGCTTTTCTTATGCAATATACAGCTTCTCTTCTTTCTCTGAAAAGGTCTTGGAGCTCCTCCCAGTCCTGGGGTAGCTAGGAGAGAAGTAGAAGGTAACATAACAATTTTTGTATTCTAGAAACGGATTTCTAATTTAATACTTGAGTAATATTATTGCCCTTGTGCTACTAAAGGTGGTTTCATGAAGATATTTATTGTGTAGGATCTTTCTTCTTTTATTTAACATGGTTTTCAGACAGCCTGGTTGCTTTCTGGTTTTCAGTGATGGTATGAATTGTTATAGAAGGCAGTCTTAATTTATGAGAAAATGAGGTGAAAATTTAGACTGAGCTGATCAAGAAGAATGCTTTCAAGGCTGGCTCTCAGATTAAGCTGTAGCTGACTGCTAGAGTACATACTGTACTTGTAACAAAATCAGGAGTCTAGGAAGCCTGATTTATATGTTCACATATTCTGGGGAGAGGAACTTCCATGTAAGTAATTTAGCCTATAATTTAACATTTTGTCTCTTCCTAAAGAGCATAGTGTAGGTATTCTGATTCTGATACCTAAACTATGTGACATACATCTATGAGAAGCACTTCTCTTGCATTATTCTAGTTAGAGTTTGTGTGTAGAGTGCTAAATAGGGTCCTGTTTAAGCTGTGCCAGCAGAGTCATGTTTTGGAGTTTCAGGAATGTATCCCTTTAGCAAGTACAGGTATAGCAATAAAGTCCTAATACGGTCACAGTCAAGATGTTCTCCTATATAATACAATTACTTTTGGCTATATTGCTGGTTCATTTTTCTAAATTGGCAGAATTGCTAATGCATAGACTAGTTCAGGTTGGAAAGGACTTCTGGTAGTTACCTACTCCAGTCTCCTGCTCAGAGTAGGATAAACTGGTGCCAGATTGCTCAGGGTACAAGTTGCTTTACTGAGAACTGTACCCAGAAACCTGTTCTAACCAGCTCTAAGAAAGCAGGGTTGTCTGAAAACTGGAAGCCGATTTCATAAATTAAGAATCTTACGTACCACAGAGTATTCCTTCCAGTTATTGTAACTGACATGGTGATTTTAACCTTCCTGGGAAATAGGCAACAGAAACACAAGCCAGAACCTTAAACCTCTTTGCCTGTTAGAAACTGTGCACTTGTCTGAAGTAAAGGTAATTTTTTCATATCTTGCACTTCACAACTTGAGTGTTGCATACAAGGTCGTCATTAGCATCAGCATGTAAATGGTGAGGTTGGTGCTGTAATATATTTATCCCATATACAAAGAGAGGAGGTTCAGGAACTTTGGTATAGACCATGTAGGTAGCTGACCCAGGTATAATTACTGATGTACTCTTCTGATCGCATGATTTTTTGAATCAGCATGTTACATAAGTTCTTTTTGTTTTAAAGACTGCTGTCAGAATTTTGTCAGAATATACTGCAAAAGGAGGCATCTTCTAGCACGATTGACAACACAGGGTACCTGTGCAAGTGGGCATCTTTAGCTTGAAACACATAGGAGGTGACTTAACTTAATTTGTGATTAGAAGAGTCAAATTACTTCACATGTGCAATGGGAGAAGAGTGTGCTAGAGTAACAGCTTAGCTGATGGAGAGACTTAAATATGTGACAACTTTCAAAAACATTAATAACATCTTTTTGCTTCCATCTCCATTAGTGATAATGTACCATTGTTGTTTAATACCCATTTCTCACTTATCTAACAAAGATAATCTATTTTTTTTCCATGCTTCAAAGCACAAAAAAGTCCTGGAACACAAAGAAAAGATAACTTAGGTAATACAGACACATGCTTTGTACTAATTATTATATAGAAATAAGTTGATTTTGAAATATGTTCTAAGTCGGCAATCTCTAATACCTGTTCCAGTTCGTAATCAGCCTCCACCTTCACCTGGAATTTCAAGCACAGGAGCTGCTGGATATGGTACAACCAGACCGGTAGGTATTCTGTCTTAAAAAAATTTTCCCTCTAAGTTTCTACAGTTTATTATGCTGGCAGTGGGGTTTTGTAAGTCGTAACAGATGTAAGAAAACTGCAAAATTGACTAGTCATTTTACAGCTTATAGGAGTTAATTCCCTCAGCAATTCTTCTCTGCTAACTAAAAATGCCCTGGAATATATATATAATGGACGTGACTTTATTGTTCTGCACTCTATGCGGTCACATCATAGGCTTCCAAATAATACCACATTTTACGTCCACTTTCAAATAACAGTAAAGTGAAAAGTTATTCTTTGTATTATATGTTCCTGTTGTCTAAGTTGCTGATTTCGTGTGATATTTTATTGTCTGTGCTGAAATGTATATCCTGATGGCAGTTAATTGCTTGCAGGCAGTTAATGTATTATATAGGCTGTTAAGGTATTATATTGCTGATTAGTTGATGTGTAATGGAATTTTGTACCTTGTTTTAAAAATTATTTTTTATAAAGACCTTAATATAAAAAGTAGCAAAAGTTGCTCTTTCTTAATTAGGGGAGGAGAGACAGAAGCGAAGTTTAAGAGTTTAAGTTATTATAAGCCATGTTGTGATCGCTGCATCCAAGGCTGCCCTGGCGTGTCACATTTCCAATGAGCCCTTCCCTGTTGGTGAGCACGAGGTCAAGCATGGCACCTCTCCTTGTCGGTTCCTCTATTACTTGCAGAAGGAAGTTGTCTTCCACACAATGCCCTCTTCTTGCCTTTTTCCCCAGTGTTTTTTTGTGCGGTTTTTCAAGGATTTCAGGACCAGGGACAGTAGCCACGGGCACTGCATGGTCCTGAGTATTCTTTGGGCTTCCTTTCTGCTTCTTTTCTGTTCCTTTCTGATGTCTTTTTCTTTTTAAAATATATATATACATTTTAGTATTTAATCCTGTGATCCTTCTGCCTACTTTCAGAATGTTCAAAGAAATGACAAATTGCATCTTGTCAACAAAAGGGAAGACAGGAATTTCAGAGGTTAGGTGGTTTAAAGCATTTAGAAAGTTGTTACATGGACTGAGGCAAGCATAATGAATCAGATGCTATACAGTGTCTTCGAAGAAGAGTACATACAGTAGTATAAGTAAGATCAAGGATGACACTTTTTTTAGTGGAGAAGTTTCATTGCTTGATTTTTAAATCATGTTTGTGTAGAGAGTTGTGCAGTAGGGTTTGCTGTGAGAAATATTTCTAGAACTTCCACTGTTGCTTGGATTTTGTTAGAATATATCAAGTACACAAAACTTGTGAGGAAACAAATCTTACAAACTATCTTTTCTCATGTTTTTGATTTTTTTTCCTGTATTCTAGCATTTTTATTAATGCTTTACATTCAGCTTTCAAGTGTGGTGTTTGTAATCCAGGTGGCTTCAGATGTAATCTGGAAGAGGTTCCTATTTCTCTTTAAATACTGATGTAGACTTTTTAATTCTGTTTTATGGGAGCAGTTCTGTTCCCAGCCTATTAGCTTCTATTCCAACAAGTTTGGGAAGACTCCGCCTTCAGATGAGGCAGAATGTATGTTTCATTAATAATGTTTGCTGGGGAAAAGAAGTAACTGCCTTGCAGTTTCAGAGGAAAGAACTAACCGTGGTCTTTTATACTTATCTTGGACTTTCACTGCATAAAATTGACAAAGCTGCTCTTTACTAATAGCAGGCTGTAACGATAGCCTAAAAGGTAGATGGTGTCTGCAGTCTGCATTGACAGTGGGTTATCAATGTGTCCTTAGGCGATCTCCAAATAAAGTAGTTGCTGCTGTTGTTTTTATTGCTTACAACAATTCACAGACTTAGGTAAAACTAACTAATACTATCAAAATAATAAGTGTCTCTATTGTTGTATAATAAGAAGTGTCTCTGTATTGTTGCACAGGTAAATATTTATATAAAGTTGAAGACTGTTGTAAAAATCCTCTGCTTTGAATTAACCCTTATAGTGTTTTGAGAATACATTCTTTGCTTTTATATGTGCTTAAAAAATTAATTCAGCAACTGTCATCAAAAAATCTGTTTTTCACAGAATTCTGATTGTCCTGAATCATTTAGCAGTAGATGAATACAGATTCAAAGTAGAACTAAAATACTTTCTTTTTACCAATTATTATGTCAGACTATTCCACCTCGAGCTGGAGTTATTAGTGCACCACAAAGCCATGCACGTCCCTCTGGGGGAAGACCAGCACCTGAAACTCAGACGAAACCAGCTGAACCACCAAGGGGTAAGTTTACCTTAGAAGTTAAATATGAAGGTCACTATTCAGTTAAGAGGTACTGTCTCTGGTTTGAATGCTTTGTTTACAACAGATGTCTTCTTCCTTCACGATAAATTAAGATTCCCAAATATAGTGAGAAGTTTGACAGTTTCTGTTAATCATCCACAAGTATTGTAAGCCCTCATTAGATAACAGGCAGCAGTCAGGTGAGATCTAGACCCATAGATTTCATGCCATCACGAGAAACTTTGATCACATTGCTGTGTTTTGGTCTAAGCACACTAATGTGTCCTGTCATGTGTGTTGATTACTGAACCATTCTCTGCACTTGATCTGTGATCATTTATGTTTGTTATTATGTTTATGTTTGACTCTCAAAGTGAGTTCCAAAAATTTAATGTTTTTTTTTAAATTGTATTAATGTCAAAATACACCTAATAATGACTTCCAAAATACTTTTAAATACAACTGAAGTACATTTAAGGATGACATGGCTTCTGGTTCTCTGTTTTGTATCTATAGTAATAATTCTGAATAGTATGGTAATACTTTTCAGTGCTGAGCTTTTGATGACTTCTAATCTAGTTGCCATGAATACCTGCTGTTCTTGCAGCCCCTTCTGCAGTTCTGTCCGGTTCCCCTTCTGCTATTCTAAAGATTGCTATTACAATTCTTTACAATAAAAACCACTGCAAATATACCTGCAGGCTCACCGTCGCTTCCTGAACCACTAAAGCCTCAGGCTGCTGGACCTGCTCAGCCCACGACCACTCAGACACCTCCTGTGCTAAAAATGCAGGAGCCTCTGATACCTGTGTCATCACATCCACCTCAGACAAGTGCCCCACAAAGTCTGGAACCCCCACAACCACCTCCTCGGAGCCGATCATCTCAGAGTTTGCCTTCTGAATCTGTTCCTTCACAGCAGCAAGTATGTAAACAAACCCTTGTATATATGTTTTGTCATTATGTAAATTAACATAGCTTGCACGGAATGCCGTAGATTTGTGAGAAACTCCTAAAGCAAGCAAACAAACAAAAATAAAGGTCAGAAGATTGGATTCAAAGATCATCAGGCTCAAGTAGCATATTACTTAATTGCTTGTTGTCCATGAATAACTATAATCTTAAATACTGAACATCTAACTTAAGATTTCTTACAACTCATGGACATCTTGTTCTTAAAATTATGTTGTCATTTGACAGCTTTGTATGTGAAAAAATTCAGTATGAGAAATGTAATTTTATAATGACACATGCATGACAAATGACATAGTAACTAGCTAATACAGGTTTTTATTATAAAGTAAGCTTTATCGATTGCATGATGTGGTGCTTTATGTTGATAATTCACTGCAAGAAGATGATACTGATAGGTACTTAATAGAAATACATTTCTCCGCATTTCCCAGTGTCAGTTAAAATACAGAAACATATCAAAATAATATGAAAATTGAATACAGCAACATTAATATTCTGTTCTGTGAGACCATTTAGAGTGTTATTTAAAAAAAATACAACAAAAGAAAACAAGAAACTACTGCTTAAAAATGCAGAAGTAGGTTTTCAGTGTTGTTTATATATACGTAAGGCTACACTTCTTCACTAAAGACTAGCGCTGTTAGCTTTCACAGTGTCAGGTGCTAGGTCAGATAACATGCTACTCGAATAAAAGCACAGATTTATTGAAGCTGATTAATTTATGCCCACTTCTGACCATAAGTAGATTTGTGGCTTTGTTTTCAGGCGTTCAGGGGTTTGTTTTATTTATTTTAAAAAGCTGCTCAACTGTGGATATTTATAACTGCATAGGCTTGAACCAGTATTTTAGATTTTACTTGACATCTGAAGCCCACTTTCACTGAAGAAGTTAGCTAATGCCTATTTTGTACAGCCGAATTCATTTCTCAGTGAGTTGATTTTGAATTCTAGTTGAAAAATCTTTAAAATCTCTTCCTTTATACTGAACCTTTCTCTGCTGTTAACTTTTTTTCATTTTGGAAACCTAGGCTAAAAACCAGAGGATATTTTTTAATATACAGGTAGAATATTAGGACTTTCTGTAGTTTGTTGGAAAGTATGAAGTGTTGCCAGTAGAGAATATACGTGGATGCATACGGTATTTGAGACCATGACAATTTTGTGAATAGAAACAGATTGTATTGTGTCACTTTTGAAAGCCTCACACCTTCTAAATATAATTTTACCATTAATCATTTTGTGAAAGGGGTGCAAGCAGTTGTTTCAAAACTACTATGAAAATTAAATTTGTGCCTACACACAGCAATCAAAAGTAGGCTTAAGAACACTGTAAACGGGTGTTCGAGCTGTGTAATGCTGTAGCTATATTGTTAACAATATCCAAAGCAGATAGTTTAAGACTAGCGCAGGCAGCTGTAATTTTCTCCACAAAATTTGATTAATACCAGCTGTGCAATCACAAGGAAAGCCCACTTGTCTTTGGTGTGCGTTTTGGGTTTTTTTTCCTTCTCTTTTCCTTTTCTTTTTCTGATAGATTTTACTTATTGTAAATTAAGGAGATTTTGGGGTTTTATTCAATTAGAAGTATTACTTTTTTTAGCTTCAATTGAAAAACTATTACTATAGAAGAATGATTATACCAACACGGTTTCCAGAATGAGGGCTACAATGCTTTTCATGTTAATAGATGGTTAGAATTAGAAAATCAATAGTCAGAAAATAGCACAATCAGCTGCACAATTAATGTCTGTATGGGAATAATATCAGATTTGGCTTGATCTAGGTTTTTTTGATTCTTAATGATAGAGCTTGTAAGTCTTATAGTAGAATACAACAGAGATTTAAAATCTAGTATAGTGTGTAACACGTATTTTTGGTTTGAATTCATATCTCAAAAAAATGGCTTTGTGAAAACTTAAAGTATTTTTAACATGAGGTTGCTTTGTTACTTGGATTTTCTTCCTAATATTCTTTCCTTTAATGTCTGTTTCTCTTTCACAAGCAGGAGCAACCATCAGGGTAACAGGTATCTGACTATTTACCAATCTTGTATGTGGTCTCTCCATCTATTCAAGCAGAAAAGATGTATGAATCTTGTTTTCATACATCTGTGGTCTCATCCATGTAAAAAATCACCTGTCCACATTAATGAATTGACTATCATACCATAGTTTGCTTTTTCCTTTCATAATGCAATTCAAATTGATACTGTTAACTGTATTTATTAGTACCATAGCAAATATTTTGCTTCATCTTTTATGAAACAACTGGAACCTCAAGTATGTTGCTTAGCCACTGCCAAATCTCCTGGTCTCGGTCTGTTTGGAAAAAAATGAGTAGGTGTTGGAGTTAATGTTTCTCTTTAATATAAATAAATCCTGATGCAATTGCACTGCCAAAGTATTTTCAAAATAAAACCCATATTTTACGTATCTCAACGAATAGAGAGCTTACTATTATCCAAAGTAAAATATACTGTCTACTACAGTTTTAAAAGTATTTGGTTTCAGAATTATTCAGAATTCTGCAATTTTTTTACTTACAATAAAGAACAATTGGGATTCATAGTTTCTTTGGGATCTTGTACTTTTTGATCACATGGTTAATGAACACAGGATTTAACCAGCTGATGTCAAGCTGCATGTGATTTATATTGTTTCTACAGTTCAATTTTTCACACTTCCCCCCTCAGTTACTTGATGCCTTTGTTTTGACATTACTTTCTGAAATGCTTCCTATATACGTATGAAAATCCCAATATTGAACCACTGTATTTAGGGTTTGGTAACATTAGGCCTCATCTATTTTAGAAACTCTCATGTAGTAGTACCAAGGATGCACGTAACCAATGTTGTTGTTTCAAAAGAACCACCACCAGAGTAAATGCATTTTTGCCAGCATACTTCTTTTCTCTTGCCAGCCAATTCAAGCTGCAATTGCAATTTTTTAAAGGAAATTGCTATGCTGGATATACTGGGGAAAACATACAATATTGTTATTATTCCTGAGAGTCTCTAAAGCCTGTAGACTGATTTTGCATAGCTGCCTAGGCAGAGGATAGGTGGAGACATGCTTCAAACTGTTCACAATAAATGCAGTCAAAACAAGATGTTTAAAGATTGACGTTAGGCTATAATAATATTGTATTTTAGTGATAATTTTAGCTAGCATCCTAGTTCAACAAAATACCAGTTAACAGAATTTTTATGCTAAATATCCAAACTGTTTAGGTATATTAAGATGATGTGTTAAAATGACAAGTTTGTGAAATTTGACTTCTCAGAAGCTGTGTTAACTTAAGCTTAATTCTTTGCATTCATTAAATAAGGGGGAGCTCCAAACTCTGTTCTGTCAGTGTGATGACTTGAGCAAGATAGTGCAGGTAGTGTACCATTTTGGACAGTTGCTACAAGGTACTAAAGTTGCATTGTTGTTTGAACAAATTTATAAAAATGGGAATATTTTGTTTTAAAATATGAACAGTTTTGTGGAGAAAACTGTCTTCTCCATTTGATATTATTCTAAACAATGATAACTTGCCATTTTAAAGTAATACAAACTGATGATTGTACCTTCACATTTCAAGAAGCGCTGGAGATGCCTACAGAGGCATATGTCTACACAGAAATGTTTGAAGTGCATACACTAATAACACTAATTTTTCCTTTCATTGTGATGCTTAAATATTGCTTGTAACATCAGTGTTATAAACTCACAAACAATGAAACCTAGAGCTTTTTATTTCGTATTTGTGCTGGGTTATCACTTGTTTAGAATACCATATAATTTTCTAAGTTTCTTAAGCATTTTATTATACAATGTCCACTGGTGCTTTTGGCTAGGATTCTGACCTGCATGAAGTAGATTCAAGCTGCATCAACCAACAACAGGGAAAAATGTGTTTAACAACTAGTAGGCTTTTCTTCAGAGAAGGAGTTAAGGGTTATTGTTCTCCAGAAAAGAAGCAATTATACTACAAGTGCATTGTGCAAGTTACAACCAAATTGTACTGAAGTTTCAGTTAAAGCCCAGGAGCTTCTTTTCTTCTCATAGAAGAGTGAGAAATGGGGAGTTAGTAATAATCTCAAGACAGCCAGCCACATGATTACTAAGCACCCTGTTTTTTTTCCAGATGAAAACAAATGGAGCATACGGCACTAAACTTGAAACGCAGTTAAACAGTGACCCTTTTGAAGATTTGTCGTTTAAGCTGCTTGTGTCAAAGATGCAGACATCTGTCCGAAAATCACCTGTTCCAACTTTGAACCAGAAGGAGTCGATACAGTTGCCTTCAGCAACACAAAGAAATGATGATATTTTGAATACTTTAAATTGCATGCCAGCAATGCCTCCTGTTCTGACCTTTAACACATCACAGGAACATAAGCGCAGCTCTCCAAATCCATTTATTACTGGACTGAACTGCACAAACCCATTCACTGAAAGAACTCCTAATGCTGGAAACCCATTTAGAACAGATACACAAGAGTCTGAAATAACTTCACATTTACTAGAAGGACGTGCCTCTTGCAATCCTTTCCCTTCTCTAAATCCTCTCAGTTGTAATACAGGCAAGCCTGTATTTTCTGTGGATGCATCTGAAAATACTTTTTGCTTGCCAGGTAAATCTGTCATGGTAAAAAATGTACAGCCAAAAGGACGGGTAACATTTGATGATGATGATAATTTCAATGTAAAGCTAAAGCCATCTAAAAGTGTCCCAGATATTAAGCAAATCAGCTCCAGGAAGTCAGATGGATCTCCAGATTTGCTGGGCACTGAACAAAATACTTTTCTTGGTTCAGACTTTAACTTTGACAATGACTGGAATAGAAGTTTGACTGATTGCTTCTATACAATGCCAGCAAGAAGACCACCTGCACCTCCCATACCATCAAGAGTAACCAGCAACAGATCCCCCACAGATCCTTTCACTTCCTTGGCACCTAAGGTGTCACCAACACAGGATTTTACAGAAAGATAGCTGTTCAAATATATAAGAGGTTATATTTGTTGCTACATTTATCCAGTAGAATAATTGGGCATTTGAGATTATTCTGTGTGCAATAATTATGTCAAATGCACTGAAACGTAACTCTGCTCGTAAACGGCCACTCTTGTTTGTGTATAAATTTTGAATATGTATATACGGTAGAGCACAAAAAATTGTCTGAAATGTATTAAAATCCCAATGTAATAGTGTTTGGATAGACAGAGAAAAGAGGGATGAGCTACTAATCTCATTAAAATATAGCAATCTTGAAAATGGTTTCTGCTTAGGGAGCCCTCCCATTTATGTTCCTCTTTGTGGAATTTCTAGGAAAGAGGCTCCTTGCTGGTAGCCTCCCCATTCCCTTTTTACTGTTTTGTTAATTGATATTTATAAATTGATATTTACCAAAGAGCTGCCAAAGTTTATTGAGATTTGAATGTTGACAACTATTGTTTAGAAGTTGTTTAATTTATAACAGAGGCTGTGGATATTTGTAAGGCATATATTTGAATGTGAGGCACAACAAAAATAGTTTAATTTCAAACAAAACTTTGCTTATTAATATATTCAGTATTTTAATTTTCTGTGTCAGTATATTTCAGCTATTAAATCTTACTGTGACATATACTCACTAGCATTACTTCAGAATAACTGTTCCATATCATCCACTTATTTTGAAGATGCTTCCCTTCCCCCCGCCAGATCAGAAACAACTGATACAAGTTTTCCCTTAACCTCTGGGAAGAAAATTCCCCTTGGGTTTTGAGAAACAAAGCGGTCTTCATCAGTTGCAGACAACATACTGGAGTTGGCTTGTCCCACTCTGCTCTTCTGCACATTAGAAGGGTCCTATAGAAAGCCCTGAGCAAAGGAATTAGCAGCCATGTTGTAACAGCAGAGGAGATGGTCTCTTGTGTGATGGAGTTCTCCACTCAGCATCCTCCCCATCCACAAGACTGACTGCTGTATTTGTAAAATTGTACTTTCAAAGAAAACAAGGAGAACAGTAGTTCTCTGAACAATATCATTCCATCACTTCTGCAGTTAAAACTGAATGAGTGACTTCCTCACTCAGTGACAGGGACCATTGTCAATGTGGTGCTGCTTTGAGGCTAGTGAAGGCTTAGTCACCATTCTACATGCTGTGCTATAAAAACATAACTCTTTGTGCTTTCATGATTTTCTAAAGCTCAAATGAGATTACATATAATATGGCATGTTGTTATCCAGAGGCAATTTAAAATAACCAGTTTCCTTAGCTCCATTTATGTGTGCTATAACAACCTTGCAGTTCTCCTTGCAGTTCATAGTGTCTTCGGACATTTACTTAGGACTATTACACAGCTGCCTACTTTTATCCAAAGCTGAACGTGTCGTGCTGTTGTCATCTCTTGGGGGACTGCAAATATATCCCTACACACCTTGGCTTAATTGCGAACAAGCTACTGGTTCTGCAAAACCAGGGACTGAAACACAACATACTAGCATTATATTTACAGTAGCAAAACGCACAGTGTAAGTACTTTTTTTTAAATGCTGTCAAAAGGTTATTTATAAAATAATCCACTCTTCCTTTAAACAGTGTATGGTTGGCCATAAGCTGCAGTTGGGTAAAGGATAGTGAGTTTTCTATTGCGCTTTGTATCTGTTCAGGCCATTAAACAGCACTTGTACATTTTACACAGCAGTGGTATTATACTCCTTGTGTGCTTCAGTGCGTGAATTTCCTTGTTTTAAACTGTTGCTATAAACATCTGTGTGATTGGTGTTTTGGTATAGTCTTACATTATTTCAAAACAATTTTTGGGGAAATTTTGCTAGTGGATAAATATGTTCTTCGTTGAGTATTTAATTACAGTGATTGCAAACTACTGGCTAAACTGTACCTGGTATACAGCACCTCTACGGGATTACGGAGACTGACAGCGACATACTGCAAACATCACCAGACCTCTCCAGAAATATAGTGTGTGTGTATATATCTAGCTAACCACTGTAACGTGTATTAACGACAATAATTACTAGCAGGAGTTCTGAAGATAATGAGAATTAAAATTAGAGACGCTCCACACGTTTCCATGGGTTCTGTGTTCCCTGGGGTGAATCACTGCTGCACGCAGCAACCACGGCCGGCGCTGTTGCGCTGCAGCACAGCACCGACCCCCTATACCTGTCCCTGTGGGATGAACTTCCGCTCTGTCTCTGCCGGAGGCGGTCCTCGACCGCGCTCCCAGGTGGCGCTGGGACGGTGGCGCGGGCCCTTTAAGCTACTCTCGTGACGGCAGCGGGAGGGCCGGAAGCGGAAGAGCCGAGGGGCAGGCCTGGCGCACGGTGGGCGTTACGGTTGCTCCGGTGGGCGATTGGGCGGGTGCGTGGAGAGAGGGAGGAAGGAAGGAAGGGAGAGAGAGGGAGAGAAAAAAAGAAAAAAAGACAGAAAGAAAGGAAGAGAGGGAGGGGAAAGAGGGAGAACAGAAGGACGGGAAGGAGGGAGGCGGCTGGGGATCGCCGGGAGCGGCCTTTCCCACTACGCTGCCAGCCCGCCGCTGGTATCCAGGGACGCGGATCCGTTGCTGTGGTGGGCGTGGCTGTGACTGCTTCTAACGGTGCCCTCCTCCTCTGCCCTTGCAGGCGCAGAGCGGTTCAGTTCCGGCATGGTGCGGTTGCACGTGAAGCGCGGCGACGAGAGCCAGTTCCTGCTCCATGTGTCCGGTAGCGCTCGCCTCGCCGACCTGGCGCCCCTCGTCGCCCGCATCTACAATGGCAGGTTGAAGGTGCAGCGGCTCTGCTCAGGTACCGGCACGCAGGCCTCCGCCCACCGGCAGCCGATCTCCTTCCTCTCCCGACCCCCACCCCTCACACGCAGAGGTGGGGGCGCTGCTCTCGGCTGGGGCGCTGCTCGGTCTGCGGGTGTGGGTGCCCCGCTGGCTGCCGGGCAGGGGGCTGAAGGGCCACCTTGCGTGCGGCCTCGCAGAGGTTAAGTGCTTTGCGAAGTTAAGAAATGCCTATCAAATCCCAGTTTAGCGCAGATAAACCATCCTGCCCTGAATTTATGAGAATGCAAACAATCCACCAGAAACGCTAAGCCATGTGTAGATTGCCACCTTCTCCTAGCTTCGTGGTTTAGACCTAGCCAGCAGCTAAGTACCGTGCAGCTGCTCGCTCGCCTCCCTTTCACACTTACCCCCTCCAAAGGGGATGGGAAGGATAATCGAAAGAACGTAAATTCCACGGGTTGAGATAAGAACGGTCCAGTAACTAAGGTACAGTATAATAATGATAAGGGAAGAGAATGTAAAACTACAAGGGGAAAGGGGAAAAAAAAAAATCAACTCAAGTGATGCACAATACAATTGCTCACCACCTGCCAACCGATACCCTACCCAACCCAAGCAGCAATTTGGGCCTTCCGGGTAACCCCCCAATTTATATACTGGGCATGATGTGCTGTGGTATGGAATACCCCTTTGGCTAGTTTGGGTCAGGTGTCCTGTCTGCTTCCTCCTCATTTCCTGTGCCTCTCCTCACTGGCAGAGCATGAGAGACTGAAAGGTCCTCATGAACTGAGCATTACCTAGCAACAGCTAAAACCTCAGCGTGTTATCAGCACTGTTCTCAGACTAATTTCCAAAACACAGCACTGCACCAGCTACTACGAAGAAAATTAATGTTATCCCAGCTGAAACCGAGACACCTGTTTTAGTAGTCCTCATGGACAAACCTATAGGTAACCCACTCACATATTTTCTCAACTGAAAAGAAATTACTTTATAAGAATAAAATGTTTTTCCCATTTTGAAAAAATTTGCTTTCCCAAAAGTACTTAGAAAAAGCTGTCAGCTAAAGCTGATTAAGGAAATACCAAAGATAAAAAGTTTATGGCCAGCAAATATCACATGGGTTTGTATACCTGCACTGTCATTTGTTATGTTGTTTCATATATGCATGAATGTGAATGTAATTGCAGCATATATGTTTATGTATATGTATTTATATACCTTACTTTTATTCCATATACTTAGCTCTTTAAAAACTGAAGGCTAGGAGTAAGGTTTGCCTGCAAGTGCATAATGTGAAAAGCTTTTGTAACTGGTATGTCTCAATAACACAGATTTTTTTTAAATCTTGTTCTCTGAATGCTTTAAAGAGATGGAGGAGCTGGCGGAGCATGGTGTTTACTTACCTTATAATATGCAAGGACTGACAGATGAGCAAATTGAAGAACTGAAGTTAAAGGATGAGTGGGCAGAAAAGTGTGTACCGAGCGGTGGAAGTGTCTTTAAGAAGGATGAAATCGGGCGAAGAAATGGGCACGGTAAATCAAATGTAAATGTTTCTTTTCCTGTAGACACAGATAACCTATAACATAGTGAGGAACATAAAAACTGCAATTTGGGATCTTTCTCATTTACCTCACTGTCCTGGAAGAATTAAAAACTGAGTAGGTACTACTAAGTATAGATTTGATAGATTTCATTTGCTAATTACAAAAATCATCCTATAAGTAAACTACGTTAAAGGCAGTTGTAGATTTGTTAAGTGGCAGCTATTTCAGGAGCCTGTTTCCACAATAGATTAGCTAAACTATCAGTTACTTACATAAGTCTTCTGTCTTGGGTTAGGACCTGGTGTAATGTTGATTTAAAAGCCTAAATAGTAGGGTATCTCTTTAGCACATACGCTGTCTAATTTTGTGACTAGTACTTGGAAGCAAACTTCAAAGAGTAAACAGTTATCAGAAGCAACTTTGACTGTTTAATTTATTAATTGTAAATGTAGAGGTTCTGAGATACATTGACAGGTTGTTTTTCTGATTTTGTGGTGTCTGTCCCTATATTCCAGACACCACAGCGGCCCTTGTCAGGTCAGCAGCCCTTTAGCTTACTCTGAATGGCTTATTTGGAGGGCAGTAGTTCTTCTATCGCAACACGCTGCCCAACCATATTTAATCCTTTGCTGAGCTTAAGAGTTTATTTTATAGCTAGACATTTTCCCTCTCAGAAATAGCTGAGTACCTTATACATAGGCATGCAGACAAAGCATGGTTGTTAGCGTTGTGCCTTACAGTGAAAGTTTGCATCAACTTTAGTGTAAGGACAGTAGCACTTTTACTTGTAGTTGTACTCTCTCATTTATTTGTTAGTGGAAGGACAATTTTATAATATTAACAAAGTTATAATGTTGAACAGTGCATAAATGTGGACCAAACTAAATACCATCAAATGATGCATTTAAGTGTTCAGCTGTGAATGGGTATGATTTAACTGGACTTTTTTGTATTTGAGGAGAGGCTTTTAATAATTAAAATAGGTAACTATGATATGAAATGCACATTTGCAAAACTGCATTTTACATTAGGTTGAAATTTTAATTAGAAAAAATTGAAAAAAAGCCGAAAACTCCAAGCTGTAGTCCTCAGTTAAAGCATATTTGCCAGTACAGCCCACAATATTTGTAAGTACAGCATGGAAAAGAGTTTCTTGGTTTTGGTTGTGCAGAGGATGAGGTTATAGCTGTGGCTTTCTACTCGGTACTTTTGTCCCAAATGAAGTTCCAAATACCAGCCAGATTTCTTTGTGGAAAAGTAAGTTTGGCTCTCCCATGAGAAATACTGTTTTAAATTAGTAAGAAATACAGTGATGAACTATCAAAGTATTAAGTAGACTGCAACTTAGTAGCATCTCTCTTGTTTTGAGATTTAACGATGGTTCATTTGCTTAGAGTAGAGCAAACCCGGACAGGCCATTTACTTGGTTTCTTTATACTAAGTGTGGTCTAGTAAATAACTGTCTCTTATTTTTAGCTCCAAATGAAAAAATGCAGCAAGTTATAAAGAAGACGATAGAGGAAGCCAAGGCATTAATCTCTAGGGTAAGTTTCCTGAAGTAACGTGGTATGTGGGACTTTCTTAATGGGTGCTATATAGTTGGGCAATTTAAGAAAAAACAGACTTTCTTCAGTGCAAGGGCTGATAATTTTTGAGTAATAATATGTAGTGATGTGAATAGTGTAATAAAATCTGACATTTCTGTTAATGATTTTCTTAATGGCTTTTGGCAAGCTGGTTCAACGAGTTAAGGAATCCTATATTAAACTCCAAGTGATTGCTGGCAGCCAAGACCACATTGGATGATTAAATTGCATTTAATTTTATCCACATGCTCTTAATTTGCTATTGATGCATTCTTTAGGCGAATGCTTGTCGTGTTTTCTGGTCAAAAATTAACTTCATTCTGTGATGTTCCTGGAATAAAATACCTTTTGCTTGTTAACATAGTCTTTTGAGTTTTTTATATAATTAATTGAAAAATGTATTCTAATCTCTTAGATTAGGCCTTGGTTTTGCAAGCACTTGGAATCCTGTTCAGTCCCAACGAGTTTGTGTATTTAAAGATAAGCATGAGGGTATGCCCTAATGGGACTGTGGTCTCGATTATTCAGCTTCACTTTACTAAATCTGTAGGTGCTTCGTATTGTGTCTCAGCTTTTGGAAGACTTTGAAACACAACTGAATAATATTATCAGACTTCTTTTTTTGTTAAAATCTTCAGGTAATTTTCTCCTCTCTGCCCTTACAGTTCTGGGAGTTGATATGTGTAGAACTTTAAAACAGTTTTAAAGCAGTTATGCAAATAGATAATGTCACTGATTTTTTTAGTGTTGCCTGTGTACTTAAATTGGTCTTCTTGACTGTTTTGTTAGCAGTGTCAGGTCAGTCATTTAGAGTGAGCAGCTCAGCGTTTCAAAAGGCCTTGTGGAGGCAAGCAGAGGAGTGCCTGGCAGCACTTCCAGTGAGCTGAGTTGCAGCAGACCTTTTCTGAATTAAGGCAGGATTTCAGCCAAGTTGTTCTGAGTCTCAGCAAAAATACAAAACACACAAACTGAGAGATGTTTTAGATTAAGGCTTCTGGACTATAAGGATTTTCTCCAGATGGATTTTTTTTTTTTTTTCTGTTGCACTGCATCTCATCTCACTGGGGGGAAATGAATACGTAGTTTTACTGCTTGAGTCAAAAATATCTGCAGGTCTGGTCTCCAGTTTGCAAATCTACCTGAGTTTAAATTCCAACTATATACCATGTTGTCATTTACAGTAAAAAGTTGCAAAATTCCCACGCTGCATGTTGACTTACTCCTGAAACTATTACTTCTACCATTCACTGGTGAATGAAGCTGAGGATCATTGGAGAAGTGGTTTGCTAGGTTCATCACTTTTTAATAATGTAAAAGAAGTACTTGCCAGTTACCTAGTTTAAGAATGTCCACAAGGAGGCAATGTTCTCTTTCATAAAACTCGTTACTTAAAATATTGAAACTGTTAAATCCAGAAGTAAAACCTTTATTTCTTCTCTTCCAGCTGCATCTTGTTTTTCCCCTGTCTGTTGCAGAATGATCTCAAGTACTTGATCTTGCAGATCTCTGCATAAGCTGTGCAACATTCCAAGCTTTACTCTTCTGCTCACATGTGCTCTATTTTTATTCCTCAAGTTTTAGGCCCCCTTTGTAGCTCTCACTTGAATTCTAGTGTTTTGAATCATATTCATGAATGACAAGTACTTGAAACAAAGGACTCCCCATCCAGTTTCTGTGGTCAATATGCATACTTGTTTGAATGCCTGCATCCCACAGGCATTACTAAGTACTTCCTGCACAATTTAGTGAAGATCTCTTTTCTTTTTGGTTTTTTCTTCCCCCATCCCCGTCAGTGTAAACAAGCTGTATAGAGGGGGCAAAAGTGAAGTGATGTATTCAGAAGTCAATATTCAAAGGAGGAAATTAGCACTCCTACTGTCCTTGTGCAGCAGTTAGCTCTGATCAAATATCCCACTGTTGAACCTTTGAACTGACTACAAAGCAAAATCTTTCTGCATGTTTTCTTAAATTTAATTTTTTTTTATTTTTAAATTAAATTTTTTTAAATTACCAATGATCCTTGCCTGTATTTCAGAAACAAGTTCAGGCTAACGTGTGTGTTAATATGGAGATGGTGAAAGATGCATTGGACCAGCTCCGAGGGGCTGTGATGATTGTGTATCCAATGGGATTGCCTCCACATGATCCAATTAGGATGGAGTTGGAAGATAAAGAAGACTTGTCAGGAACTCATGTATGCAGTAATGTATTTGTATTATATGTAGTGACTGGTTTAAATATGCTGTTCTCCATTTTAATCAATGAAGGTTATTTACGCTTGCATGACAAATTTTGTTTTATATTTTTGTCTGATAACTTTATGTAAAAGCACAGCAATAGCTTAACTAGAAATAAGATGAATTAAGTTTATTTCAAATGTTACACACAAAGTTCAAGTAAGTCTAAGACTTATTTTAATTAACTTGTCATTTCTTTCTAATGGCAGTATTGAGGATTTATTGCCCAAAGTGCTTATGTTAAATCAAGATCTGTTGGAATATGAAGGATAATGCTGTAGATTAGTATGAGGAGAAGGATGTAGCAGAAGTATAGGGTAAAATTACAGTGGCCTTTCTGTTAGGAATTCCAAAAAGATTTTTCCAGAAAATTTTTATAGTTTTGAAAACAAAACAAACAAACAGCCCCCCCCCAAAAAAACAAACGAAAAACCAAAAAACACACGAACACACAAAAAAAAGCAACACCCCAACACTTCACCTTGTTTATTTGTCACAGGCTGGACTTGAGGTTATAGAAGAATCGGAAGCACAATTATGGTGGGCAGGAAAGGAGTTGAATGAAACAAAGTTGCTCTCTGATTATATAGGCAAAAATGAGAAAACAACCATCATTGTCAAGATACAGAAAGTAAGTATCGCTGGGAGATTTCTTTACAGGTTACTCACCTTTGGCTGTCATTCTCTATAAAGAGAATTGTCCGTAGGTGTATAAAATGGATTGTTAGTTTCAACTTGAGTATCTTAAAACTGTACATCTATTTTAAGGCTTTAATTTACTATATTCCAAATTTTTCTTTAGTAGTTGCTTTGCCTGTCAGTTAAATACTGTAGTTGCTATTAATTGCTCCATAGCACAATTCTGAAGTACAGCAAAGAGGTATTTAAAAATAGATGGAATACAATGGAAATGTTTAAAAAAACCTCAGCTGGCTCTCAGTTATGTCAGTGCAGAACACTGAACAGATGTAGTCATTTGGTCTGCCCAGTTTTTCTAATTATACTTGTGATTTTTTTTCTTGCTACATTCCGGCCTTTAAAAAAGTTTAAATGCTTTGTGCATATGTGGTGTGGATAGGTCTTATCTCTGTTTCAGTCTGTCCTGTGTCTGAAAGACAGTGTCTGTAACTCAGTAATTTCCTGCCTGTGATGTCCTGAGTTTCTTGATGGCAGGTCCTCAAACTGTCTCAGGTGCCTTGGAAATGTGGACATGATCTTCCAAAGTGTTTAGTGAGAACTCACTGGGTGCTAGAAGGAAGAAAGTGCTGCTGCGCCTGTAGCGCCCAGTTGTGCTATTCAAGCTCCCAGCTGACCTTTTTTAAAAAGAAATTAGACTTCCCAGTTGTCGGATGTGGTGACATAGATGAGGACTTCTGCATTAATTATGAGCTGGTCTGAGTCATAGAATGGTTTGGGTTGGAAGGGACCTTAAGGCTCATCTAGTTCCAGCCCCCCTGCCATGGGCAGGGACAGCTTCCAGTAGATCATATTGCTCAAAGCCCCATTCAGCCTGGCCCTGAACACTTCCAGGGATGGAGCAGCCGCGACTTCTGTGGGCAACCTGTGCCAGTGTCTCACCATCCTCATAGTAAAGAATTTCTTCCTAATATCTAATCTAAATCTACCCTTTGTCAGTTTAAAACCATTTCCTCTTGTCCTATGCCTACATGCCTTTGTAAAAATCCCTCTCCAGTTTCTTGTAGGCATCCTTTAGGTACTGGAAGGCTGCTGTAAGGTCTCCCTAGTGGCTTCCCTTCATCCTCTGGAATAATGACCAAAAAGGAGGCAAAGTTCTGCTGCTGCTCCTCTGTTTATATGCCTGATGCTTCAGCAAAAACTAGTCATTAGGTCTATACTGGTGTCTCATGCAGTGGTCATGTTCTTGCAATATCGAAATTAGTACCAAGCTACTGGGACTGTACATTGGTTTTTTGGACAAAATTATTTTATACCAACTGCGAAGTTGTTTTCATCACTGGTGAGAATACCATACTCAAAGGAAGAGTGTTTGGTGTTTCCGTTTATTTTCAGAGCTTTGTCAGAAGGTGCTCACTGTGTTTGTGTGTATGTATCTTTGTATACATAAAATCACATTCGGAAGGTGCGTTTGCAGATGTCGGATGTCTGGGAGAACTTACTCATAGCCAAGAATTATTCTGGAGCTGCATTTCACTTCCATGTTAGCGAGAGCTTCTCTGCCCAGAGAAGGCATTAATGTTTATGACAGATCTTACTATCTGCAGGTGTCTGTAATAGAATTCCTCAAAGATAAGTCAACTGATTTAAGTGTTTATCACTTAGAAGACCAGAATTGCTTTCTCTTTCCCATCAGGAACACTGAAAACAGTGTGACTTAAAGCCATTGAAGTGTAGGCTCCCAGGAAAGTTGTCTTACTGTTTAATTAGATGATTTTAGTACCTCTTTGGAGAATGCAGAGTAGCACGGGGGTTTCCTGTCTAACAAGGCATGGGTTGGAGAGCTAAATTAAACCACCTCAGACCCCTTTTTTTTTGTTCCAGAGAGGATTCATCATCTCAATTCAAACAGTTCTGTTTGCTGTTGTTGACAGTAGCTGTCATCAGCTATTTTCTGCTGTGCGTGTCATTTCTTCCATGAGGACACTTAGCTGGGAAAAAAAAAAATCTTTTATTTGTAGTAACAAATGAAATGTCTTTTACTTGTCATGTTTTGTAACTGCTTCCTTCCCTGCTTTAATAAGTCATATGCCATCTTGAATCTGTCTTAGCAGGGGAGCTAAAGAAGGATGGGCCCATCCTGAGCCATCTAGAATAACCTTAAACCAAAGAGATTTATTACTTCTTTTAGAGCGGAAGTTTAAGTCAAATAGACTCAATCTTGTTTGCAGGCTCCAATGATGTCCACAAAATGATTCAGATGCTGAGATGAAAAAATGATTCTAAATGATTCTCACTTGAATGCAGCAGAAGTTTCTCAACATTTCTTTTCCTGTCCTGAGGGACCTTACTAGATTTGAGAAATCCTTTTGTCTGAAGAAATGTCTTGCTGTCTTTCCATGGCAGTTTCTCTTTTGTATTGCAACTGCCATCATAAATAAAATTTACGATTTCCCTTTCAGAAAGGACAAGGAGCTCCAGGGCGTGAACCTCTGATTAGTCACGAAGAGCAAAAACAGATGATGCTGTACTACTACAGAAAGCAGGAGGAGCTGAAGGTAACAGTGTCTTTTTAGTGCATGGGAGCTGTGCTGTTGTGGGCGCTAACCACAGTTATGTTTGTTACTGCTGGTTCTGTTTACAGAAACTAGAAGAGGACGATGACGATTCATTTCTAAATGCAGAGTGGGCAGACAACCAGGCTTTGAAAAGGCAATTTCATGGTGTAAAAGACATCAAGTGGGGTCCGAGATGAAGCTCTGCAGAAACCTTTTTGCCTCTTCAAGCTGTTTGGTTGATACACTTGTTTGAAATTAGGAGTTATGTTGTGTGTGGTGGATTCTTCTGGCAAAAGCTGAAAGTGTCACTTCCGGCGCAGGTGCCTGTTTCACCTGTAGGTTTTCAATAGACATTTACATTTCTGTGTAACTGTAGCAGTCCTTGTCTCTGCAAAGAATGGAATCAATCCTGTTGAAGTTTGCTATTTTGTTAGAAACTTGGAATTCGAATACTGAAATGTTAAACTATTTCATAGATAGTATATCTAATAAATATGCAATAGAATGTTTGGCATCATTTTGAGTGGTCTTTATACTTTCTTCCTGATTCTTGTATTTCTTTTAGGTGGTGTGGTCTGTAGAAGATAACTTATAAGAAATCAGTTTACCAGGCTAGTCCAGGGAAAGCCAGTGACTTTATGTGCTTGTTTGCATTTCAGTAGCTAATTCCAAACTGTCTCTTTTAAATGAGTTGACCGTTTAACAATTGCTTAAAGAAAGTATTTTTATATAACCAGAAATAACACAAAAATCCTTGGAGAATGCTTCATTTTCATTCTTTCTGTTCAGTTTCCATTGACATTGGGAGCCAGCCGGTTGATCTCATTCAGTGTAACAAGCTGTTAGCCCTGGTGCTTCAGACAGAAGATTGACAGAAATTTGTTTATAAAAGTGTCATTTGCAAGTAGATTAAATACAATTGGATACAATAAAAGCCAAATTTAATAGGGCTTAATCTCTACTATTGAAGTACTTGTAAGATTATGACTGGATTAGAAGTGTTCAGTTTCTAACAAATCAGCATTTTAAAACTGAAAAATCATGAAATTTATTGGAGAGTGTTTCCGCGGTTTGCTTGATGTTTACTATCAAGGCCAGGCTGGATGGGGCTTTGAGCAACCTGTTTAGTGGAAGGTGTCCCTGCCCATGACAGGGGCATTGGAACTGGATGAGCTTTAAGGTCCCTTCCAACACAGACCATTCTATGATGATTCTGTGATCCTCTTACCACTTCTAAAATGTATCATCAGTCAGTTCTGGGTTCAAGACTAATGCTAGTAAACTTGAAGCAAATGTGCGTGGTTTTGAAGGGAGGGTTCTGATTTGGAATACCATATGACTAGTAGATAATGAAATCTGTAGAATTATCTATGTAGATAATTACTGTATAGAAACAAGTTGCTCAAGTTTTACATGTTTAGACTTCTGTGTCCTCAAATGAGATGCTTTTCTGTGAAGGCAGATGCTCACCCTCATCAGGTCACTGAGCAGTGGAAAGCCAGGGCACCCTGAAAATTGAGTGTTTTAAAATGAGGTGAACTGATGTGGGCACTCATGGCCAACAACTAAAATTATGTGTTCCTTCACACCCCAGAGCAATTGTCCCCAGGGCAGAGGGGAGCTGAGAACATCCACCTTTTCTCTTCTGCAGCATGAAAAGGCAAACCAGCTAAGGATGTTGGTTTTGCAGTTTGCTATAGACTTCAGGATACCAAGTTACCCCTGCATGCATCTGCTTCTTTTCTACCTGAACCAAACCTAGATCATGTTCACAAACTACATCAGTCTTGAACAGGCAGTTGCTCACCAGCATGTTAAGTCAAAGTGCAACAAGATGGAAGTAAGTTCTGTGCTTGTTGACTGTTCCATAAAAACACCTGGCTGTGACTCTCCAGATTCACAAACCTCAGTACTTGCAGCTTAAATCTTTCTGCTTGTTTGAGTCATTGTAAAATAGCAAAGTGTTCTGCTAGTTGGTTTTTGGTGAGGAAAAAAATACGATTTGAAGTATTAGTGTGGTTGAAGAAACACTGATTAAGTTGAACTAAAGCGTTTCTTGAACTCACAGCTGGAAGATTGAACAGAGAAAAGAGAATTAATGCTGTTCAGAACTATTAATGATGTTTTTAATTCAGCCACTGATCCTTTCAGAGAAGTTTGGTGTCTGACAGTCTTTCTTGAATATCAACTTTACAGTAACACTTTTTTTTTTTACAAAAAAAACCCAACAAAAAACCAAAATCAAGATATGGATTTTTCTAAGTTGCAAGACTTGACATATTTTATATTTAAAAACTACTTGGAATTATTTCTATGTGGCAAGAAAACAGGGTGTGTTTTACCAGAACACTTTGTTCTAGCACTTCATCAGATGAAAGTCAGTGTCCTGTACAGCTCTTTGGAGATTCTGAACCACACCGATAGTTCCTCCCTGCAGTCTCTTCCTATGTGTTTAGCAAGCTGCTGAGGACCGCCAGCCCTGCCTGTGGGTTTTGTCCTGCCAAGCTGGGAGGGAGATTTGCAGACGACAGACTGTCCACAAGCTACCTGAGGTGGAGATCTGCTCCAGGATCAGGGATTGCAACGTGACCTTTGCCAGCAGTGCTCAGTTACTGGCATTTTTGCACCTTGGAACAGTTTCTTAGCTGGAGTGCTTATGTGCCTGCTCCTTGTCATTTGAAAGTAGCTTTTTTTAGTTACTTTTCGTAACTGCATTGAGCTCAGTGGCCTTGGCAGGAAGCTTTCCAGATGTTTTGGATCAGTTATAATGACTGCTTGAAAATACCCAACTGAATCCTTCTCACAAATAGAGCTTTCATCTTAGATTAGTATTATTCTGAGGAGTTTGTTCTGTGGGATCCCAGTCCTGTAAATAACTGATGTCATCACTGGCTTTTGGCCATTTGATTTAATGTCCTCGACACCAGGAAAATATTCAACAGCAGAGGAGGCAAAATGAAAATAACATAAGCAGTGAAGTACCTGTACTCCCCAGATCTCCTTCGTTAAACCCTACTGCACATCCACGACTACAAGTCACTGGTTTTCCATGACAAAACGCTAAAGCATTGCTAGCACCTTCCTCCCAGCAGAATTCTCTCTGAAACAGGCAAGTGTGTCAAAGGAGCACAAGAGGTTTTATTGTCTTTCCAAGGCTTGTGAGAGTTACTGTTTCAGTGAGAGACTTCTAAATTACCACTATACAGGGGATTCTGAGGAGGGTATTTGAACGTGACCTTTGATTACGGTGCTTATAATATTGTCATTTCCTCTCTAAAAGTGATGGAAAAGCAGGCCTAGGAAATAATTCAGGCAGAAGGAGCTCCATTTTATTTTGCATACCTTTGACTGCTGTAGTTGGCCCTGTTTTCTTTTTCAGCTGAGAAAACTGCCCGTAGGATCAATGCTCTTCTGAGTTCTGACAGCATCTGTGGAGGCTGGATTCATTTACTATGGTTGAAATTGAATGAACTTACTGGAAAAAGATGAAAGAGTTCAGGAACAAAGCAAAGCCTGTAGATATTTAAACATCTAAAGAATCTGAGAATTATGAGATAGGAACACCACACATAGGTTTAAGAATTCTTGAAAGTGGTTTATCTTTCTTCTAAACTGTTTATTTCTGGAAGTTTGATAGTAGATGGGCCCTTCCAGAGGGAAAATCCATTTTCTATCAGAGGATACACACAGCAGAACATTGCTGAGATGTTTGTTCTGTGGCTGTATCACCGTTATGATTAATGGAGGTTTGTATTATGTGTTGTGAGAGTTGCTAATGCCATTACAGTCATTAATGTGCTGTTGAGGTTTCCTTGGACAGGAGTGTGAGAGGAAGCAAAGCATAGGCACTTGGCTGTGTGTAGTGGCTCAAGCACTGCTTCTCCCCAGGAGGTTGGCTATGCTTCCCTGGGGGTGTGGGGTGGGTGCTGCTCTGCCCTGGGACGCTGCTGCCACTTCAGGACTGTCCTGTGCCCATCAGTGGGTTCTTCTGACTTCACAAATGTATTGTTCTGTATTATTTCACTGCATGAGTGTCATGCGCAAAAGCCACTGGGAACTGGAATTTGGCTGTTGTACTGGAAAGTCTTAGAGCAGGGTGAGTCTAACATACACAGTGTGTTTTAAGATACTCCAGTGACATTTCCCTCTCTGTTCCCAGCTCCTCTGCCTGCAAACCATTGTGCCCTATTGTGGGTTTTATGAATGACATGAGGGCACGGCTGGCTGCATGCTGCAGGATGGGGTGTCTGTAGTGGGCTGCTGTTATGCAGAGGTGACCCTCACAGAGCAGTGAGTACCTTGTCCCCCACGCATTTTTCGAGGTGGGGGCCCAGTGAGCACAGGGAGCTGGAACTGCTGCTTTCAGCAGCGCTGACCCACTGGGATGTAGCTCTTGTTCCTGCTGAGCACTGACAACCGTGGGAGCCTGCAAAGGTATGGTATGTGTCTGGGGAGTTCTACACAGCTGGGCCAGCACTCACCCCACAGCTGGATGCCTGTGATCCTCTACTCTGCAACAGGGATTGCTAATGGACAGTCACTAATGCACAGCCACTAATGCACAGCCCCCCCACTGGAAGTGTATTTCTTGGGTGCCCTGTGCATTTGAAGGCACGTTTCCAGCATCTGATGCCTGCCAAGGATGTCACCAGAGTCGTTTGTAACATCAGGCTGGGATTTGCATCTTCCTCTACAAGAAGCTACAAGCCCTACCAGAAAGCAGAGGACACCCACCACCACTGACAGCAAGATCTCCCTGCCAGCAGGTGGTGTTGGAGTAAGATGCAACAAAGCGCATCCACCTGCCTGGCTGTCATCAGTGTGCACATCAGGAGTCACAAGGAGCATGAGCTCGCACCTTTCCTCTGGCTGTTCCTGTCCTCACCTGCCATCTCCCTGTACTGGCTGATGGGGTAGCAGTGGCCGAGGGCACCCATGGGCTGCACGCTTCATGTGTGCTGGGGGCACTTCCGTGCCTCACCCAGACCCACCCGCCCACCTGTGTCAATGGCTGTGTGTGTCCCCATCCTGTGCTCCGGTGAGTACGGGCTGTACAGTATCCGGTGAGTACAGGCTGTACAGTAGCTACAGTGGGGTTCTGTTGGGAATGAGGAAGTTTATAGCAAACATAGGAAATCTGGCACTTCCTCAAGGAAAAATAAATTGTAATTGTTGTTTACCCCAAGGGTTGTGTTTGTGAGAATAGTTCTCAGCAAAGGCTGAGTGATAACAGCCAAGTACTTATAATGCTGCAGTTAAGAATTGGCGTGTGGGGATTTTTTTGTCCTCATAATCAGCACCCAGCCACCACCCATGGTACAATGTGAAGGTCTGGGGGCACCGCTGCCAAAATGGTGAGATAGCCCCTCTGCTTTGCTTCTCACCCAAGCGGCAGCTCCTGCAGTTTAAGAATTCAACCTGTAGTAGTCCCCAGCGCTGTTGTGAGTTTTAAGCTCTCTTTCTTCTTGCCTCTCCTTCCCCCAGCAATGCCCTGCCCCCTCATTCAGAAAGGACCTC